CTTTAGGATCTTTTAAATCTATATTCACAAGGTCTTCACAATATTGTTAAACTTAAGAAATAATAGACAATTTAATTAAATAATTATTTATAAAAATAACCGATTGTTCTTATTCTTTCTTCTTAAATTTCTTAAATCATTTATTTACAAATGATTAAAAAAAAATAGTTTAATAGTGAAAAAATTTCCTAATTCAAACGGTTTAAGTTATGGAATAAATTTAAGAAATTTTTTTCATGAAAAATTTATTTTTTATTTAATTGTAAGATATTAATCTATAATTAAATAAATAAATATATAAAATGGTTTTTCTAAAAAATAAGAGTAGTTTCAATGATTTCACGCTTAATTAAATTCAGGTATCCATTTATTATAAGTTTTAATTATTTAGTTGATAAATTTTTATTTTTAACTACTTAATATATAAAAATAGTGATCACCATAGCAGAAGAGAAAAAAGTAAAAGATACTAAGATTAAAAATACCTTCAAGATTAATTAAAGTGAATTGAGACAGAGTTTGTAGAAAAAAATTGGCATTAAGGTTGGAATATTTTTAAATAAATAATATTAAAAATAATTATGGATTAATAAAAAGCACCAATAATATCTTTAGAAGCTAAAGTATCAGCAATTGAATGTCCAGCATTCAATCTGCTAGATGAGAAAAGCAAGCATTATGCTTATTATTTTACAAGAGCATGCTGGGCAGGTGCAAAAATTTGTTACTTTTAAAGATCATATGAAGCCCCAGGATTGTTTTATTTGTTGTAAAAAATATTTTAAAAAGAATCAGTAAGAATAAATTAATATTATTAGACTTCAGAAATAAAGGATAAGCTATTGTAAAATGAATTTACTGAAAACCAAGTTCAATAATTATTTATTTATTTTTCTGCTTTTTTCTAAAATTGCGGAAATTATTTAAGTTTTGGTGATTCGAAGTTTGTACCTGAATTACCAGTTGAAAAATTCCGTCAATTTTTGTAATTAACAAAGGCTTATTCAGAATAACAGGAAGAATTTACAAAAATATGGAATTTGATAGAAAAATACATTTATACATATGAAAAACCATATGGACTGTTAGATTTAGTCGAAAAGGGTGGATCTAATTCATATTACTCTCCAAATTTAAGTAAGGAGTAGATAGAAGAATTGGATTAATTTTTACATAAACAAAATCTAAGTGAATTGAATACAAGAGTAATTTTAAATGGAGATAGGATTGAATTATTAGTAGCTTCATCAGAGAGATCAGATACAGTTATTTTGGGTGAAGTTTAAGGAAAGAAAGTCTAGGCTATTTATGGTGATTTTAAATCATTTTTGAATGGTGTAGCTATTAATTTGAGAGAAGCATAAAAATATGCTGCTAATGAGACATAAGTGAAAATGTTAGAAGAATACATAAAACATTTTTAGAGTGGAGATATTGAATAACATAAAGAAAGTTAGAAATTATGGATTTAAGATAAAGGACCAATAATAGAAATAAATATTGGATTTATTGAAACATATTTAGATCCAATGAAAGTGAGAGCAGAATATGAAGGATTTGTATCTATTGTAAATTAGGAAGAATCTAAATTGTTAGGTAATTTAGTAGAGAAGGCAGAAGATATAATTAAAGATTTACCTTGGCCTAAAGAATTTGAAATAGAGAAATTTAGTAGACCTGATTTTACATCTTTAGAAATATTAGCATTTGCATGTTCTGGAACACCAGTTGGAATAAATATTCCAAATTATGATGATATAAGATAAAATTTAGGATTTAAGAATGTAAATTTAGGAAATGTATATGGTAAACCAAACAGAGATTCAGTTAGATTTTTATAAGGAACAGATATTGATTTGTTTATTAATTATTATAAGGAATCTTTATTTGTTGTAGTTGCTTTACATGAATTAATAGGACATGGTAGTGGTAAAATATTTATGGAAGATAAAGATGGAAAATTGAATTTTGATAATGTTATCAATCCATTTACTAATGAAAAAGTAACAACATTTTATAAACCAAATGAACATTGGCATGCTAAATTTGGAGAACTATCAGGTGCTTATGAAGAATGTAGAGCTGATAGTGTAGCATTATATCTTAGTACTTACGATGATGTTGTTTAAATTTTGGTCCCTGGAAAAACAAAAGAAGAAAGAGATGAAATTGTTAAAGCTGCTTGGCTTGATATTATTATGGGAGCATTAAAAGGACTTCAATATTATTCAGCTGAATAATCTAAATGGGGATAACCTCATATTTTAGCTTCTTATGTTATACTATAATCAATTATATAAAAAGATCCAACTTTTGTTTAATTTATTCATTCAGAACTTAATAATAAACCTTATTTCACTGTTTAAGTTGATTATAACAAAATTTGGACTATTGGCAAAGAAGCTATTGCTGATCTACTAAAAGGTTTATAAGTTTTTAAATCAATTGCTGATGGTGAAAATGGAATGAAATTCTTTAATAAATTTACTTAAGTCGATTAATAATTCTTATAACTAAGAGATATTGTTTTGTAAATAGTTTTATTTATTTATTACAAGAGCTCATAAATAACCAAGAAAAATTGAATTACAACCAGATGTCAAATTGAATAATGGTTCAGTTGAATTAGTTGTCTTTCCAGAATCCCATGAAGGTGTTATACAATCTCATAGTATTTATATTTATTTCATTATTAGTATTTCATTATTAAAATGATGTTGAAGATGTTAAACACGAGTTTCTAGATAGATAATAATATTTTAAGAATTGAAGTTTCATAATATTTATTAAATGAATTAATAAAATAAGAGAAAGTTCAATGTTCTTGAATACCTTAGAAATCCATATCATCTACCTCCAAAATAAGAAAAATTTGAAATTCCTCAAACTTCTAAAGTTGGCTCAAGGACTCATTAAAGAAGATTCTACCGACCATATAAACACAAGACTCTCTTCCCTGAATTAAATAGTACCAATGCACTCTATTTGAGCAAAACTAGTCAATAATTTAGACAATCTAGAAAAGAATGGTAAGATGAATTATAGACATGTCTTTAAAGTTAATCAGTAATAATATTCCTCTTATTCTAAAGATTAGAGGAGTCCCTAATAAAAGCAAAGTCTCCTAATTTTTTGTTAAATCATTACACAATTCTTCCTCCAGTTTATTGCTAAGAAAACCATTACCAGAATTAAAACCATTATTGGAAATTTAAGCCCAAAAATTATTTTGATTAAATCTATTTTACTATATAAATAAAAGAATTATTAATTCATATTATTATCAAGATAATTCTATATCTATAACATTCAATTATTAAATTAAATCTAGTGTTTTGTCATATAGATTATCTAGATTGATTTGTTCGTTAATAAAATGCATAATATGATTTCTTATAGGTGTTAAAATTCTTTCTATAATTAAAGGAATTATGTTTAGATCCTAGCAATAATTCAATTTAGCGAAATATTTCTATCTATTATTTGGATACAATTAATCTATTTCACAAATAAAAATTCGATGTTTTAAATATTAATTTAAGATGTTGAAGACATAACATTATATATCAGAATTACCAGAATTATTAGAATTATCATCAGGCACCAATTTGTACATAATCGTCTAATTTAAATGATCATATAATAATGGATTCAATTATTCATTTTCATTATTTTGTACTTATGGTCCTTAGAAAATATGAGGGAAATTGTTGTGAGCATTTTCTTAAGCTTAAGACTGTGCTTATAAAATATTTTCTAATTATAATCTTTATTCAACAATTTCTTAAATATTTTCATTATTTTAATTTGATCTATCAACTATTTATATTTCTTAATTTTAATTTGATACGCCTTGTTGTAAAACGTCTTATAAAATATCATTTACTCCATCAATTAATTAAACATCTTCTTAAATTTAATTTAATCCATGAATTTATTAAATAAGTTCTTAATTTTATAATCTATCGTCTAATTAATTATTTTCAGAATTTTCATTTAATGAAAATATTTCTTAAACAACTTCCTAATTTTATAATCCATCATCTACTTCATTATTTTCAGAATTTTCATTTAATGGAAATATTTCTTAAATAACTTCCTAATTTTATAATCCATAATCTATTTCATTATTTTCAGAATTTTCATTTAATGGAAATATTTCTTAAATAACTTCCTAATTTTATAATCCATCATCTACTTCATTATTTTCAGAATTTTCATTTAATGGAAATATTTCTTAAATAACTTCCTAATTTTATAATCCATAATCTATTTCATTATTTTCAGAATTTTCATTTAATGGAAATATTTCTTAAATAACTTCCTAATTTTATAATCCATCATCTACTTCATTATTTTCAGAATTTTCATTTAATGGAAATATTTCTTAAATAACTTCCTAATTTTATAATCCATAATCTATTTCATTATTTTCAGAATTTTCATTTAATGGAAATATTTCTTAAATAACTTCCTAATTTTATAATCCATCATCTACTTCATTATTTTCAGAATTTTCATTTAATGGAAATATTTCTTAAATAACTTCCTAATTTTATAATCCATAATCTATTTCATTATTTTCAGAATTTTCATTTAATGGAAATATTTCTTAAATAACTTCCTAATTTTATAATCCATCATCTACTTCATTATTTTCAGAATTTTCATTTAATGGAAATATTTCTTAAATAACTTCCTAATTTTATAATCCATAATCTATTTCATTATTTTCAGAATTTTCATTTAATGGAAATATTTCTTAAACAACTTCCTAATTTTATAATCCATCATCTACTTCATTATTTTCAGAATTTTCATTTTATGGAAATTATTCTTAAACAACTTTTTTATTTTATAATCCTTCATCTACTTAATTATTTTCAGAATTTTCATTTAATGCTAATATTTTTGAAACCACTTCTTAATTTTATAATCCATCATCTACTTTAATATTTTCTTAACTTTCATTTTATGGAAATTATTCTTAAACAACTTTTTTATTTTGTAATCCATCATCGACCTAAAGATTTTCTTAACTTTCATTTTATCCTAATTATTCTATAATTTTTTTTTTTTTTTATAATCCATTATCTACTTCAATATTTTAAATCATTTATTTTTTTCCATTCTCTATTTTATTACTTACTTTAATTTTATTTATATCCTAACCTACCTAATTATTCATATACTTTTATTTTTAATCTTCAGGAGGTCTATCACTTATTTCTATTTTTGTTTTTTCATCCCCTAAATTTTTTTAAGGACTTTATTGAAGTTTATCCAATCTGTTTAATTACTAATTTTAAGAATACTATTAAAATTAATCCAAGGGATCATTTTATTGTTCATTTGAATATTATTTTTATAAATTCTATTTTTCTTTATATTTACTAGGTTATGTTTTTAGTTAATTATTATTATCTATTTGCTATTAATCATATTATTTTTTTTTTTCTTATTCATTATTCTTTTATATATTTGATTATTTACTATCTTAATTTTAATTAACAGAGCTTTTGATCATACTAGTCAAACTTTTAAATTCAATCTAGGATTGAATTTAACTTTTTTCTTTATTTTAATCATTATTTATATATGATTACGATTGATTCTAAGAAAAATCTTACTCCATTTAAATTTAATTTTATTCATTATCAACATTGAGCATATTCTAACTACTAGCATTTACATTTAATTCTTAAGAATTCTATTTTATTTATTGATTATCCTCACATTTTAATTTTTACGAGTTATTTTCTATTTTAGACTTATTTTAGATAATTTTCTTGTCTTGAAATTCTTAATCCTGATTTGATCCTAAAAAATTTTGTTTTAAAGTATTAGATAATGTGGATTATGAGGATTCATATTAACATTCATTATTTTGCTATATTATTTGATTTTGTTAACTAATTTCTGTAGGGACTTGAGACATTTTTTTAAAATTATAATATAAATAAAATTATAATATAAAAATTTCTAAATTTAATAAATGAACTATTTTAATCATTTTTTTAGTTATGAAAATAAATAAATATATAAAAAATCTATAGATATTATTAATAAATTTATCATAGATCATGTTTGTTAACAAGGTCACATTATTCAAACTTACAATCTATACATCTTTCTCTTTTACTACTTAATTTTTTATTTTCTAATCCTTTAATGACTAAATCACTTAAAGCTGCAATAAATTATGGATGATCATTTAATGAATCACACCTTAAAACATTCTTTTAGTTTGATTCTATATCTTTTTTTAAATCTTCCATCAATTAAATATCTAATTCATACAATGTTTCAAGATGATCACTTGTAAATCCCATAGGTGAAATTAGAATATTTTTGAATTTACTTTTTTTAATGTATTGACTAAGTGCATGATGTGTAGCAGGCCTAAGCCATTTATTTAAGCCTACTTTTGATTAGTAGGATAAATCAAAATGAATTGAGATTCCCATATTCTTTAAATTATCTATGACTAATTAACAAGACTCATATATGTAATATGGATATTTCTCACCATCCCAAACAAAATCTGCTGGTAAAGAATGTGCTGTAAATAGAATCATTGTATCATTTGGATCTAAATTTTGACTTTTCAATTTATTGTTCAATAATGTAGACATAGCAGAGATGTAAAATTTATTTTTATGCCAGGAATCTATTACAGATACTTCTAATTTAGGCTAAATTGTTTTGTATTTTTATAATAATTCTAATGCATTTCTTATGGCATTTCCCCCTGTTGAACAAGAATATTATGGATATTAAGAAAATAGTAAGAATTTTTATATTCTTCCTTCAGTTTTCTCAAAAGCATACTCAATAGCATCTTCTTGAAGAGGTAGTCCATAACGAAATGCTGGAAGAAATCCACTTCCTTATGGTTTGCTCATTAATAACCCTTATGTCATTGTCCATTTAAAAAGTGGAGAGAAGCCTCCAATTTTCTCATATTACTTATTGATTTTAGCAGGACCTCTCAATCGAGCTATGTATGGACCTAAACCGAAAGGTATTCTAATCACTGTAGTGTCTTCAAAGAATCTAATCAGGAATGGACTTATTTCTTAATATGAATTGGGCCTAGCCTATATTGTTAGAGATCACCCTCCTAAATTTAGCATAAGGATTGCTGTTTTATTGTTTGCATCGAATTAGGTTTACTCTAGATATTACAAGGACTGATTATAGGTTGATGATCTAAATTTGGTGAATTTGTAAATAGATTTCATAGAAATAAATATTTTTGTATACAATTAATTATATTTTGATAATATATTTAAATAGATAATGGATAAATCAAAATTGGTATAGCATACATCATCTTTGAATACTAATTTATAATATTACCTTAATAAATTTGAGAAGAATCAAGAATGGGCTGATATTGCTCCATTACTAATGAAAATTGAAGGTTTATTAAAACAGCATCCATCTCCATACATAATTGAAAAGATTCAATTAAGCAAAAGATTAGCATAATGTCTTAATCCTCATGTATGACTTTAATAGATTTGTTAGCTATCAGCTCCAATTCATATATCAGTGTTAAAGATTTATGATCAATTATTTAAAAATATGGCAAATTTTAGTGTTGAAGGTGATCCATCTGGTGTTGTAAAATTGTATTTAGAAGACCTTGCTTTATATTCAATAGGTTTACTTCCCTTTTTTTCTAATGCATCTTCTAAAGTAAGACCATAATTCTTGGAATTAATTATTTAACATTATGTACCTTTGGGTAGAGAATTAATTCCAATGTTACCTGGATTAGTTGCTAGTATATTGCCAGGATTGGATGATTAATAGGAAAACAATTAAAAAAAATGTATGACTGTATTGGATGCATTGAGTCAATCAGCAGGTAGAAAATTCCTTATTGGATCAGTATGGATGTCAATGCTTAGAAGCCCAAAATGTAGAAGGTAATTTAATATAGATTAATTTTAGTTCATCTTTAAAGTATCTATCTTAGAAGATTCCAAAAATGTAATAGGAATAAGAGGATGAATAATCAGATTATGAAAGCGATGAATATGAAGATGAAGAATAATAGAAATCATCATCTATTGCATAGGAATAAATGTAATAGTAGTAGAAAGTGACATAAAATAATTAAGATATAGATGATATTAAAGATGATTCTATGGAATAGATTATGGATAATAATGCTTAAAATGAAATAAGAAAAAGAACTATTGTTGTTGAATAGAGCATGGAGTTAAAACGTAAATAAGCTTTAATGATGATTGAAGATGGTATTAATGAAGAAACACATGAAAACAATTTTCCATCACTTTATGTATCTGCTCTCATTTCTTGTTTGGAAGATGAAAAGTATTTTCTAAAATCATATTTAGTTAATTAATCAAAAGGTAGGCTCTTGATATGATGTACACACATTTGAAATCAAATGTTATTTAAGAAAATAAGGAAATTTTAGTTGAAGCTTCATTAAAGTTACTTATAAGAAAAGATTTATCTGTAACAAGAAGAGTCAATTAATGGTTATTTGGTAAACCAGATATGGATAATAAATATTAAATAACTGAATAAAATAAAGATATTCTATAATATGTTGTGAATTCATTCAATAAATTTTTAGAATAAGAAGCAAATGATCAGAATGCAGTCTTTCCAATAAAATTATTATAAAATTTCTTCATGGAACATGATCATATGGTTGAATTATTAATAGGTAANAAGAATCAAGAATGGGCTGATATTGCTCCATTACTAATGAAAATTGAAGGTTTATTAAAACAGCATCCATCTCCATACATAATTGAAAAGATTCAATTAAGCAAAAGATTAGCATAATGTCTTAATCCTCATGTATGACTTTAATAGATTTGTTAGCTATCAGCTCCAATTCATATATCAGTGTTAAAGATTTATGATCAATTATTTAAAAATATGGCAAATTTTAGTGTTGAAGGTGATCCATCTGGTGTTGTAAAATTGTATTTAGAAGACCTTGCTTTATATTCAATAGGTTTACTTCCCTTTTTTTCTAATGCATCTTCTAAAGTAAGACCATAATTCTTGGAATTAATTATTTAACATTATGTACCTTTGGGTAGAGAATTAATTCCAATGTTACCTGGATTAGTTGCTAGTATATTGCCAGGATTGGATGATTAATAGGAAAACAATTAAAAAAAATGTATGACTGTATTGGATGCATTGAGTCAATCAGCAGGTAGAAAATTCCTTATTGGATCAGTATGGATGTCAATGCTTAGAAGCCCAAAATGTAGAAGGTAATTTAATATAGATTAATTTTAGTTCATCTTTAAAGTATCTATCTTAGAAGATTCCAAAAATGTAATAGGAATAAGAGGATGAATAATCAGATTATGAAAGCGATGAATATGAAGATGAAGAATAATAGAAATCATCATCTATTGCATAGGAATAAATGTAATAGTAGTAGAAAGTGACATAAAATAATTAAGATATAGATGATATTAAAGATGATTCTATGGAATAGATTATGGATAATAATGCTTAAAATGAAATAAGAAAAAGAACTATTGTTGTTGAATAGAGCATGGAGTTAAAACGTAAATAAGCTTTAATGATGATTGAAGATGGTATTAATGAAGAAACACATGAAAACAATTTTCCATCACTTTATGTATCTGCTCTCATTTCTTGTTTGGAAGATGAAAAGTATTTTCTAAAATCATATTTAGTTAATTAATCAAAAGGTAGGCTCTTGATATGATGTACACACATTTGAAATCAAATGTTATTTAAGAAAATAAGGAAATTTTAGTTGAAGCTTCATTAAAGTTACTTATAAGAAAAGATTTATCTGTAACAAGAAGAGTCAATTAATGGTTATTTGGTAAACCAGATATGGATAATAAATATTAAATAACTGAATAAAATAAAGATATTCTATAATATGTTGTGAATTCATTCAATAAATTTTTAGAATAAGAAGCAAATGATCAGAATGCAGTCTTTCCAATAAAATTATTATAAAATTTCTTCATGGAACATGATCATATGGTTGAATTATTAATAGGTAAAGTATCATATAATTTAATAAAATATGTTGAGATTTACCATAAAAAATATCCAGAAATAGTAAAATCTTGTAAAAGATTATTGGAATCTATTACATCATTTTTATTGATTGTAGTTAATGAAGTTAGCAAATAATACAACAAATACATAAACTTTTTATTTTCAACTTTGATAACAAAAGAGGATAATTTTGATAAAACAGTAGAATTTACATTATTAAGAAGTGCATCAGCAAATTTAATGAGTTGTTTGTCAATATTTTCTCCTGAAGAATTAAGAAAATAATCACCTGGTTCAACTTTGAATAAATTATTAGTAAGAATGGAATAATTGCCCTAATAATAAGATAATTAATTGGTAAGACCAGCTTAAACTTCTGAATATGATGAAGCTATAGAAGAATTTGGTTCATTATATTAGAAACTAGCAGATGTAATTCTTGAAGGAAATGAATAATTAAGAGTAGAATTTGAATCAATTAGTAAATCATTAATCAAAGGATAAAGATTTAAATAAAATAAGGAAGTTTCTAAATTACCGAAGTGGTTTACATCAATAACTAAAATTATAAAAGAAGAGAATCCCTCTATTTCTTTATTAGCTATATAAAGTATGATTGAAATTTTGATATCTGAGAAAGTTGACATTATTTATGAAAATTTAAAAAAATTAATTGTTGAAGAAAGTAGAACTAAGATGCTGAAAAATCAAATTGTAGAAGGATAAGATTACACTAAACTAACTTTAGAAAAATTATGGAATCTCCTTGATTATCCTTTTTTTCATGAAAGAATCATAGAGATGATTGTCAATTTATCAAAAGTATTTCCAACATTTTTTACAGAAGTTGTAATTCATTAATTTAAAAATATGTAAGAAGCAGCAATCAGAAGATTTGCTCTCTTTTGGAAATTAAGTGCAACTCATTATAAAGAATTATAAGATTTAAATAAAGTGGGTTTGTTTCTAATGTTAGATTTCTTAGATCATGAAAATCCAATTATCAGACATAATGCTAAAAATTGGTTATTAGAATCAACAGGAATGTTAGAGAGAATTCTTGATCCTCTTTTTGAAGTACTCATTTAAAGTAGTTCATCATGGTATTTAACTGACAATCAATAAATATTCTTTGCCAAAGTTTATGAAACCAAAAGGATCAATGAAACAATAAAAAAATTAAAATCTATTTTAATCTCCTTTAGTGCTATATTTATGGAATATGTCTAAGAGACAGAAATTTCATCATACATAAAAGATATTAGAATGCATTTCACAAGTGAAGGTAGTGTGATCATGTAAAAAGATACCATGATGTATATAGATTTATTGGTTATAATTTGCTTAAAATATGTATAAGGATAAGCAATAGAGAGTATGTCTTTGAAATTCTACAAAGAAAATGCAGCAGTTAATGCATCTGCATGTGAATATATTGAATTATTAATTGTCAATGTTGAAAATCCAATTGTCTCCTTAAAATTTGCTGAATATATTATGTAACCATTACAGATTGTTTTATATCATGCAATAGAAAATGAAGATCTTGTTATGCAAGTTCAAATTTTAAATCTTTTTAAAGTGATTTTTTTTAGTTCATCCTTTAGAACCAAATTCTAACCAGAATAAAGAGAATTAATTGAAGATACTATGAGTAGATCAGTAAGTAATAGTATATTTATTCCAACTCTTTTGAGAGGAATGCATACTCATGTTCTTTATGTCAGAGCATAGTATATTCATTTCATTAGTACTTGCATACCTTTATTGGCTGAACATCTACGATAATAAACTTTAACAGATTGTGTTTAATAAATTTTAACTGCTTATTTTAAAATGATTTAAGATATTGCAAATAGATAATATGAATAATAGAAATCTGATTAAAAAATGAATTAATTTGACTTTCTTTAAGGATCATCTCAACATGAAATTTAATCAATCTTAATTGGAGTTAAAACTATCTTAAAACATATTCTTGGATTACAAGAAAGAGATGATATGATTTATGAAAAATTGAAGGAAGATAATACTATTTTCAATACTGTTAAATCTGTTATCACTTTTGGATTACTTAATGTTTAAGATTAAAATAAGTCTACTAAATTAGTTTTTTAGAAGTTTTAAAATACTTGTGAAGTGATTATGTCAACATTACCTTCTATTTTAGAATTATATATTAATTGTTGGTCATTAGGATAAGATTTCATTAAATATGCTGATACTTTAACTGCTATGGGTATTGGATCCTATTCATTTGAAAAATTCAATTCATTCAATAAAATTCTGTAAGAATAATAAACTAAAGAAACCAATATTGTAAAACCTTAAATTCTATAAATGATGAAACCATTATTCATGAGTTATTCAAAATAATTCATGACAGCATTATTATCAGTATGGAGTAATTAACTCAATTAATTGTAAAGATTATTCTTTGAAAATGAATAAATTTTAATCGATCCTTTCTCTCTTCATTAAAATACATTCCTTTTGAAAACTATAGAAATTATGATTATGATGTAATGTCCAATTGAGCTATTCTTGGATAGTCTTTTGGAATGTTAATAATTATAAGAATTACAAAAATATTATGATATATATAGAAGAAAGAAATTATAGACAACAATGCTAAATTTTTAGATATCATAATAGGAAACAAACATTCTATATTTTTTGTATTGTTATTTTACTTATGTTCAAATAGATTCACATTAATTAAAAAAAGAAAATCTTCTTCCATTTTGGATGTAAATAATGAAAATCCTATAAATATTGGCATTATCAAAATCTCCTAGCACAAATATGTGGCTTTTAGAATTATAATTACTATTAACTCGTAAATATTCTCCAAAAGAGATAATTGGAGATTAAAGATTTAGAAATTAACATCATGAATTTATAAATGATAAATTAAGATATGTTGCTTAATTTGGAGGAAAATTAAATATTTTTTGGAATGATCCAGGTTAAAAGCCTGATGGAGATGATTTATTTGAATAATATATAATAAAATTTAAGGTTGTTACACCTTTAACACCAACATTATATGATATATATTTGAATGTAATAAAATCTTTGAATAAAGAACTTTAATATGAAGTAACAGATATAGAATAATTGATATTTAGTCAACTTAGTAGTGTAATAGAAGATTACATTTAGACAAAGTATAGATTGATGTGCATTAAGACATTAAAAAATGTAGCATTAGAATTATTATAAAATTCTTATGCAGTAGAAAAAACAGAGAGAGTTGTTTTAAGATGTAAAGAAATGATGGATATTTTGTATCCTCTTTTAGAAAATAGAAGTCAATATAATTAGATTTATGTTTAAATAATTTCAGAAATGTTATACTCTTAATTAGATAAAGCTAGATAAGTTTTATTGAAAGTTTATAAAGATTCTATCTTAAATATATTCAATAAAGAAGACTTTTTTATATAATCGAAACAAACATTAAAGTATTGGACTAAAATAATAAATTGGGTAGTTTAATATGGTAGAAGTGATTTATTCACTTAGTATTTGGAGTAGGTTGCTTAATAATCATCATTTTTTTTTAGTAGAGAAAGTGAAGAGAATAAGAGGAGAATTAAAACTTTTGAAAGAATATGCTTTTTGATTTTTAGTGGAGAAAGAGATCGTTATACAAAAAAATTAGATTTATTAATTGAAAAAATATCTGAAGTTATAAAATCAGATTCAGCTAATCCAGGATTAGTTATGCTTATTTTATTTTGTGTAAGAATTCTCATTTTGAGATTATCACCAATTTAATTAAATGAATTGTTTAGAAACATGTGGCCTACACTATTAACTTTATTAATCAGTATTTTTAAAAATAAATAGTCAAACTAAAATTTGGTTCTGGCAGCATTAAAATTAGTAGAAATGATCTCTTTTATGTAATAGGATGAATTCTTTCTACATTAATGGATATTTATTTATGATTATTTTGGAATCAAGATTCAAGAGAATTAGGGAATTGGAGTTCCGATTACTCCATTTTTATATTAGCCTTATTGTTCGAATTTCTTATTTTAGCAATATTCAGTTGATTATAGCAAAGTAGAATTGAAAAATGTGACTGATCCTTAAAAAAGAGAAATAATGATAAAGTAGATCAAAGTGGATGGATAGTAATAATTAGAGGATATATCTTTGTAATTGTGTAATTATTTGGTACAGTTGAATAGTATGAGGATTTACACAATTAACGAAGATATAGAAGACTTGATAGAGAATGATTTCATCTAATTGGATTAGTTTATTTATGAATAATAATGATTAATATATGTTTACTTTATCAAGAGAAAAATTTGAAATTACATACACCAGCAAATTGTTATCCATTCCAACATGTACTTGCATATTAGTATACTTTGGTATAATAGTGATACCATTTGTACTAGTTTTCGCTTCTGAAAGTATTCAACTGACTAATAAGACTTCTGGATCATGGTATCCACATTAGAAGAATAATTAGACATAGAATATTAAGGATTTCACTTTGTTAACATTATTACATCAGATGATTTAGTGTACCATTTCACAAATTAAAAATATAAAAAGATAGAAGGCTCTGAATAATTACTATCATCTTAATATATGTCATTATAAGGATCAAAGATTTCAGTAAATATAGATGATTATTTATATAGGCATTAATAGATGACTTAAATGCTGATAATATTCCTGAGTAACTAAACTTTGATTTGTAATTATTTACAGATGCAAACAAGATTAAATAGATAACTATATTGTTGCCTTTGAAATGCTATTTTGCAAGTTTGCATTTCTAATTTGATTGTTATTTATACTTCTAAGAATCAGAAATAATAGAAGGATAAGGTTTATCACAATTATAAATAATGGGTGAAATCAATTTTTATTAATAAGAACCTTTACCATCAAGGTATATTGTTTAATTTTTTGAATAGTAATTTTGATATTGATTATTTCTCTGAAATTTAAGTTGATGATAATTTGAATAGTTAATGGATGAGTGAAATGCTTAAATAAATTTATTCAAGAAGTTATTAGATTCGTTAAAGATGTATAAATAGAAAGATAGGAGGGAATTCTTAAAAACAATTAAACGTAAATATAAAATTAGACAATAATAAAATACAAATAATTTAAAGATGGGTGAGTTTGCTTGCAATAATGAAATTAGCATGGCTCTAATATTTTTCTGTATTCATAATAATTTGGATAATAGGAAGAGAGTTTTTGATATTCTTATTTAGATTCAGAATAGTTGATACTTAGAAAGTGGAATAATTATGATTAATATTTATTTTATAAAATGTTATTGTGGTTGAATGGAATGACAAATACATCTATAAAACATCCAATGGATACTATGATGGATGAATACCATGCTAATCCAACTAATATCATACCTCTATTAGCAGAAGATGAATTTTTTATATAAGCAAAAAATCTGAATCCAAAAGTGATAGACTTCATTAGATAACATTAAAAAAGCATTGCATCATAACTTCTAGATTTAATTGTACAATAAATTGATCAAGTTACAGAAACTAATCATGATCATGTTGTCATATTCCCAATTCTATCAATTGAATTTTTTGAACTTGATCTTCCACCCTTAACTTAAATTATTCTCTAAGAAGTATAATATTAATTCTTATACTTCTTAGACTGCCATTCAAACTCTATTTGCCGGATTATAAAAAACTCCAGATCTAATCCATGAACCTTAATGGTCCAATATCTAAAGATTATTTGCTCTTTTATTATCCAAAGAACCTAAAATAGTTTGCTAAATCATTTTTAAATTCGATTTACTTAAATTATTTTTAAATCATCTTGAATCAGCTACAGTTAACAGTATTCTCATTTAATTATTCAATCCTGAATATGCAAATTATGAAGATACTAAACTAGAACTTCTTTAATTAGGTTTTCGTGGCTTTGATTTAATGGAAGAAATGAGTGTTCTTAATTTTACTTACTTAATCCATGAAATTATGACAAGATACTTTTCTAGTGATCTATGTTCAAAACTTATATAATTTATTGTCAGTAAATAAATTATACTTTAAATGTTCTAATGTCTAAGAACTAATCATGATAAATTATTCCTTGCTAAAAGTTCTGCTCATATATTATCACTTATTTCTAATTATTATTCCTATACTATGCAAAATATCAATATTTATGAAGATAATATTACTAAAAAATAAACTGATGAAAATCCTGAAATTGCTTATCATTATCAATTAACTCTTGAATTTGAATAAACTGACTTTATGAATACTTTTATACTTGAAATGAATCTATTTGTATAATCATTTAATCAAGTCTTAGAAAATGATAATCAACGTCTCAGAACCTTACGTCTGAAATTATTAGAAATTTTTGATAATTTAACAAGAATTTCTAATATTAAATTATGGAAATAAATGAATTAATTAAAGTTATTCAATCAAATTGTCTAAATCTACTTTAAATATAAAAATTCTGATATCTTTCATTCAATCTTTGAGAAATTATTATTATATATTCTCAATAGAGCAATAAGTGATTTTCATCCTTATTGGTGTACTATATTAATAGAAGATATCAATATTTATTCATTGGTTTCAGAAAACATTACATCTAAAAATACAATGCCAGGTTATATCTATATGTTAGCTAATCATTTAGCATGGTTTGAGAAAGAATTAAAAGATAAATTACTTATTGATGGATCTCAAGCCAAATATTATTAGTAATTAAAACACATAGAAGAAGTAATATTATTAGATGATAAATGGAGAAGAGCTAGTCCAATATTCAATATATAATTTTAAAAGTATTCTATTCCATTAGGTGAATCATAACCAGGAAGTGAAAAGACTATTCCTGTATCAATTGAACCTGTCATAAATAATGGTAATGATTAATAATTAAATAATGTCAATGCTTAATGTCTATTTAATAAAGTGAAAAATAATCAATAAAATATAGTAAGCATTTCTGGTGATGAACCTCCTGAATTTGAAAGTCCAGAAAAACATGAAGAAAAAGCATAAAATACATAACAAGAAGAATATTAATATGAAACGAGAAAGTCTCCTGAAAAATTTAATATTTAAGCTTCTCCAAAATAGGATGAATCAGAAGTACCTGCTATTCCACCATAAATAGTTATACCTTATAATTAACAATAAGTTAAAGGAATGGATTATAAATTTGTTGAAGGTGTTTATTTGCAACCTACATCACCTACTAAACCTTAATAATCTGAATAATCATAAGATATTTAACAATAATACAATTTTAATTAATAGAATAGTATTGAATCTACTCCTGAATCCACTCCTGAATCTACTCCTGAAAGGAATTAAAATGATAAAAAGATTGATATGATGTCAATTAGTTTATAAGAATTTGTTAGACCTATTAATTAAACTAAATTTACTAGTGATAGCAAAACTGAATAATAAAATGAAAAATAATCTAGTCCAAATAAACGAGTAGAAGATATCATTAAAAAATATTCTAATATGTCAAAATCTGTTACATTTGGATAAGCTAATATTGGAACCAATAAACAAATTGATAATTTATCATTGAAAAGAAAAAAATCAATGGAATCATCATTAAGACTTAAATAATTAGATTAGGTATAAAGTGAAGATTTTAAAATTCTAAAATCAAATAAAGAAGATACTAAAATATTAACAAGTGATAATAAAAGAATATTGATGGTAGATGAATTAGATAAAGAACCAGAAGTTAATTCATTAAGAAATAGTTTAGTTAATCTTAGTAATATGAGTTTTTCAAGCACTTCAAGTAAAAAAAGAACTATCAAATTTAAAAAACCAAAAAAATCTCAATCAATTGGATAAGAGATTAATTTAAATGTTTCAGTTCCTGAAGAGTTGTAAGCTAATTAAGGATTAGTATTTTCATTATCAAGTTCAAATTCATTAAGAGATTCCTTTTTAAGTACTTAAAGTAGTGTTACTGAAGAGAAAAAGTTTAGATAAGCTAATAAAAAGGATTAAAGATTTTTAAATTATATTAGAAATATTAAATGATTTTATATATTATGAAATATTAAATGAATGATANAAATAATGGTAATGATTAATAATTAAATAATGTCAATGCTTAATGTCTATTTAATAAAGTGAAAAATAATCAATAAAATATAGTAAGCATTTCTGGTGATGAACCTCCTGAATTTGAAAGTCCAGAAAAACATGAAGAAAAAGCATAAAATACATAACAAGAAGAATATTAATATGAAACGAGAAAGTCTCCTGAAAAATTTAATATTTAAGCTTCTCCAAAATAGGATGAATCAGAAGTACCTGCTATTCCACCATAAATAGTTATACCTTATAATTAACAATAAGTTAAAGGAATGGATTATAAATTTGTTGAAGGTGTTTATTTGCAACCTACATCACCTACTAAACCTTAATAATCTGAATAATCATAAGATATTTAACAATAATACAATTTTAATTAATAGAATAGTATTGAATCTACTCCTGAATCCACTCCTGAATCTACTCCTGAAAGGAATTAAAATGATAAAAAGATTGATATGATGTCAATTAGTTTATAAGAATTTGTTAGACCTATTAATTAAACTAAATTTACTAGTGATAGCAAAACTGAATAATAAAATGAAAAATAATCTAGTCCAAATAAACGAGTAGAAGATATCATTAAAAAATATTCTAATATGTCAAAATCTGTTACATTTGGATAAGCTAATATTGGAACCAATAAACAAATTGATAATTTATCATTGAAAAGAAAAAAATCAATGGAATCATCATTAAGACTTAAATAATTAGATTAGGTATAAAGTGAAGATTTTAAAATTCTAAAATCAAATAAAGAAGATACTAAAATATTAACAAGTGATAATAAAAGAATATTGATGGTAGATGAATTAGATAAAGAACCAGAAGTTAATTCATTAAGAAATAGTTTAGTTAATCTTAGTAATATGAGTTTTTCAAGCACTTCAAGTAAAAAAAGAACTATCAAATTTAAAAAACCAAAAAAATCTCAATCAATTGGATAAGAGATTAATTTAAATGTTTCAGTTCCTGAAGAGTTGTAAGCTAATTAAGGATTAGTATTTTCATTATCAAGTTCAAATTCATTAAGAGATTCCTTTTTAAGTACTTAAAGTAGTGTTACTGAAGAGAAAAAGTTTAGATAAGCTAATAAAAAGGATTAAAGATTTTTAAATTATATTAGAAATATTAAATGATTTTATATATTATGAAATATTAAATGAATGATATTATCTATAGATATAATTAATAATAAAACTTAATTCAAGAATTAATGTAATAGATGAGCAAAATAGAGAAAGTTTAAAATTTAGATTTTTTAAGAATTAGATAAATTCAATTTTTGATTATTGTTTATTAGGATTAATCATTTATTAAATATATTAATTAGATTGATATAATTTAAAAATTGAATATTTATTAAATAAAAATATATTATAAAATTTAATGGGAATTTGTGAAAGTAAATCACGACGAAAGGAAACAAAATAATCTGTGATAAGAAGATTTTCTAAATTGAACATTCATCAGTTTTATAGATTTACACAAATATTGGGTAGTGGGTCTTTTGGAACAGTAAAGCTTGCTTTCAGTTTGGAATAAGAAAGAAATGGTCTTTAATCAAAATGTTATGCAGTAAAATCAATAGATAAAGTAAAAAAATGATAAATAATTATAGCGTCGTATAGGTTAAAGATTACATTTGATTTAAAGAGAATTAGAGATTCTTATTTAATTAGATCATCCAAACATTATAAGAGTGTATGAAACGTATGAAGATATGAGATATTATCATTTTGTGATGGAATATTGTAGAGGAGGAGAGTTATTCGAAAGGATAGTAAGAAAAGGAGTATTTTCAGAAAGGAAGTGTTGTATATTGATGAAATAATTATTTTCAGCTGTTCATTATATACATGAATAAGGAGTAACTCACAGAGATTTAAAACCTGAAAATTTAATGTTAGCATCTCCTGATGATGATTTTGATATCAGAATAATTGATTTTGGTTTAAGTAAGAAATATCCACCTCCTTAATCTCCAAATAAAGGTAGATCTTAAGTTAGAACATAAACTAAAGTAGGAACTCCTATTTATGTTGCTCCAGAAGTTTTATAAGCGAAATATTCCTAAACTTGTGATGAATGGTCATTAGGATGTATTATGTATGTTTTACTTTCTGGTGAACCTCCTTTCTTTAGTAATAATCTTAAAGTTCTAGAAGAATAGATTTAAAATAAAGATATTTAGTTTAATCAAAACTCTTGGCTAAATATCTCAAATGAAGCAAAAATGCTTGTTACTAGATTACTTGAAAAAAATCCAAAAAAACGCATAACATGTGCTTAAGCATTATCTAGTTCTTGGATTATCAATTAAATTTCTGCACCTCCAAGTAGAATGGAATCCATATCAAATAATGAATAAGAAAATGAAAAAGCTATTTAATTACTTAAAACTTATGGAAATATATCTAAATTAAAAAAAGAAACTCTTAATATTTTGTTAAATTAACTAAATGAAATTTAAATTTAATCTCTTAGATTATAATTTGAAGAATTCGATAAAGATAATAGTGGAACTATCTCTGTTAAAGAAATGACTTAAATTATGAAAAAAATTGGATTAAATGATACTGAAAAAGAAATATAAGAATTAATAAAGAAATTTAAATTATCTAAAAAAAATGAAAACACATCTTATGTTGATTAAACTATTCATTATTCTGAATTTATGATGGCCTTATTAAATTAATAACAATATTTAAATGAAGAAAGATTATGGGGTTTATTTAAATAATTTGATTTAGATAACAAAAATTATATCACTAGTAATGATGTTAGAAGAGCTTTCGAAAGAAGAGGCAAATAATTATCAACAGTTAAAGTAGATACTATGTTTAACGAAATAAGTTTAAATAGCTAAGATAAAATTGACTTTTAAAGATTTCATGATATGATGTTAGCAGATTCTATCAAAACTTAAGATGAAGAAATTTAAATATCAAATATAAGTAAAATTTTTAATAATAATACCTAAAATTTGCCTTATTTAAATTAACCTAATGGAGACTTCAATTTTGATATTTGAATTTATTTTATTAACTTAACTTAATCTCATTTATAAATTAAATTATACACCTCATATTATTTATCATAATAATAATTAATATAATTATAAAACTTTTGTTCCAGTCAAAGCAATATTTATTACTTAATATATTGATACCTATAATTTACACTTATAAATTACTTTAAAATTAATATACAAAATGCCTAATGGATACAAATCATTATTAGAGTCAAAATATATATCCAAAATCCACTACCTAGCCATCTTTTATTAATATTGTTTTCTATATACTTAATATGAATATCATACTATTCTTTATTATTATTCTCAATAATCAAACAATGCTCATTAAGCTGAATTTCAACTACTGTTGTTTTGTATTAAAATTAATCAATCTAAAGTTTTATATCATTTTATTACCTATTCTAAAATAAATGTTTAGCTTTAAGTTTAATCCTCAAAAACTCTGAAACCCAAAACTGATGATCTTCTTGAATTTTGTTCTATCAAAAGTTTGTTCTCATTTTCTTAACTTTTTATTAATAATTATTATAAATGTAATATCTTTTTTAAGACTTAATTATTATTAAAATATTATTGATCTTAAATAAGTAAATTTAACTTTTATTGACAATTTTGTTTTAAAAATAATATTTCATCTTTTGTTATTTTTGCATATTACATTTCATTAACTAAACTTTCAAATTAATCTTATTCATATTCAATTTATGTGTATCCATCTCTATAAAGATTTTAATATTTAATCATTTCTTTCTTTTTCATAATCTCAAATTCTTAAGACATTTTTTAATATAAAGCTTCTTCAATTCCAATTTTAGATTTTAATTATAAATTTTTACTATGAATTGTAATGTATTCTTATTCAAGTGTTTCTTTTTCTTAAGTACCATTTATTATCTCTTTTTTAATTGATTATATTAATATCAATTTTTCTTTTTTTTCTTATTCTATTTAATCTAATTCTTCTTTGATAGTTTATAAATTACTCATTATATTTTCTCTTTCATTTTCTTAATTTCCTACTAATTCTGCCAATTATCTAGCCTCTTAAGAATATAAAGACATTCTATTTCTTAATTATAATAACTTTTAATCCATTTCAACCAAATTTTTATATAGTACTTATATATAATCTCTTTTTTCTTTTAATTTATTTTTTGTATTAGTTTCTGATTCTAATAATTCTTAATTTTCAGTTTCTAATTAATAAATTCTTTATAAAGTATTAATTTTATCTGATTCTAAATCAGATTATTTATTAAATGCTTTTTATAAATCTTATTCAATTTTTTCTACACATTAAATTCTTACATCTAATTCATTAGCTAATCTACTCTCTTTTTCAGCCCATTCTTATAATTTTATTGATAAATCATAATGCTTTTCTGCTGTTTTTCTTAATTTATTCTATAAATCTTATAATAATTAACTTTCCTTTGTAAATTTATCTTATAATTCTACTAAAATTGGATCATCTTCTAAAAAGAAACTTTATTATTAAGTAATCTTAGAAACTAATGATGGAATCATACTATTTTTTTCTTAATTTTATTATCTAAGTGTTTATATTGTTAACTCTAATATTTCTATTCTCTTATCTTTATCTTTTATTAATATCTAAGCTTATTAATCATTAAATTAACTAACTTATGCAGAACCATCATTTTATTTCTATTCTTATGGAATTGGACTTAACTCTACTAATTTTTATAAATCATCCTTCAAATCATTATTTTTTGTATTTAAATTAATTAACTTACCTTATATTTCATCTTCTAAATCATCATCATTTTAATTTAAATCAACTTTATTTTATTATTACTAATATTTTCTTCTTAGTGCTATTTCTTTCTTTAAATCAAATATTTCTTAAGTAATTTAATCTAATTCTTTTGTAAAATTTTCTTTTTTATATTAAATCTATTTCAATTCCTTTTATTTTAATTATAATACTGCTTCCATCATTTAACCTTCTTCATCAATTTTTGTAAACTATTCATTTAAATTCTCCAATTATTAACTTTTTTCTTTAATTTAAAATTTCATCTCTTCTAATTATACAATTATATAATGCAATTCACCTTATAATTAATTTCCATTTAATTTATGTTTTTGCAAATCTTCAGAAAGTTCTTAATTTAAATTCATTTAGTTTTCTATCAATTATTCAATATTATACTATTAATTTTTTATAATTTCAAATCTTTCTTTAAGTCTTTCAATATCCTCTAATATTGCATTAGATTATCTCTCACTTTCCTTTTTCTCTTCTAATAAAGCTATCTAATCTTATAAAATAATAGAATCAATTTATATCTTTAAATCTCTTAACTATTATTCTTTTTATTATTTCAAAATTTCCTAACTTTTTAGTTAAAAATCTAATGATTCTAAATTCTTTTTTAAATTTTCCAAAATTTACTATGATTATGAAGTTTGACTATCTAAATTCTCTTTTTTACTCAATAATTCCTTATTTACTTATTAAACTTCATCTATCTATTATTATAATAAATTATTTTCAACTCTTAGATTAAATAGAATTCTCTTATTTTCATCATTATTTTATTCCTATATTTTAATTTAATCATTTTGTTAAATGAAGTTTTATTTCAATTTTTTTAATTGATTTTCTTATTCAGAAAGTTTTTAATTATTTAATTATAACTCACTAATGATATTCTTCTAATCATTTTCTTATTATTTTAACTTATCTAATTGTGTTTGATTGTTTTTTAAATCCTTTTATAATTCATTTATTTAATCTTATAGTTTTTCCTTTAATAAGTTTTATTAAGTAAACTCTTATTCTAATTCTTTTAATTACACTTTAGTTAATTAAATAGCATCTTTTGTATCTTTTTATTTTTTTTATGTAATTTATAATTCTTTATCTAATTAAGATTGACTTTCTTTTTTTTCAACTAATTTAAATTCTAAGTTTTAAATTATGTCATCTAATTCCAAAATTTATTTTACTAAATCATCAGCATTTTCTGATTTCTAATTTTTTTCCATTTATTATTAATTAAACTTTTGCAACCTAAGATTTTCATCACTTTATTTAGATAGAATATTTTGCATTTCATTTTATAAATTTTCATTCTACTATTTAAGATTTTCTATTTATTATTATTTTTCTTTAATATCCTAAATATGTAATACATTTTATTCTACAACATCTTTAAAATTAATTTTATCTGACTTTTCTTGAGAAAGTTAATTAATTTTATCTTAAATTACTTATAATTATTATTCTAATTCATTTTTTATTTTATTTTATTCTATTTTTTGATTTTCAAAAAGTTTAAGTTAATTTTAATTCTCTTATATTTAAAATTTCAACGAATCACATTATTTGTTCAAATCCTGTAAATTTTACATTAATGAAATTAAATCTATTTTATCAATTTCTAATTAAATTTCTTCTTATTAATCTTATTTTTCAACTAACTTTTTTTAAAGTTCTACAATTAAATCATCTTATTTTTAATTCTAAATTACTAATTCATCTATTTATAAATCATTAGGTGAAGATTATAATTAGAAAATTTAATCTTTTGTTTATTATTAAAATGTTATTTCAGCTAAATTTGATAATTATTAAGATTGTTAATAATCTCTGAGATTAAATTCTTCAGATTAATTTAAATTAACATTTTATTCTTCTAATTATAATATATTTGTTCCTACATCAATTAATTTTTATTAAAGTTCTTTTTTTCGATTTTCTTATGAAATTAATCTTCGTTCTAAATCAATAATAGCATCTTCCATAGTTGCATTTTATAAAATTAATTCATTAGCTCTGCTTTCTTCAAAAGATGATGGATTTCTTTTTATAATTTCTTATATAGAATCATTAGCCTTTTATTATTATAATTATAATCTAGACCTTAGATTATTAATTTCTATTTCTTTCTCATCAATCAAAAATTAAATTCTTTTATATTCTTATATTATTCTCTAAACCACTTCTTATAAAGCTTCTGGATATGTTTATAATTCATTTAAAGCATTTTAGATATCTTTTTATTTTTCAACTGATCCTACTTAACTTCTTTTAACTTATATATTAGCTGATAATTAACCAATCAAATGATCTAATGAACTTTCTTATGTTTTTAATTGACTTATCATTCCATCCTTATTGAGAATCTAATTCTATAGATCACCAATTATATTTTATAGAACTAAATTTTGTTAAATGAGTTGTTATTAAGCAGCAATCATCTCTGCTGAAGGTCCTTAAAGAGGTTTATGAGTAAATTAAACAATCAATGCATCTTTCTCTTATATTTAACTTTTCAAGAATTCAATCTAGGTTTTCAACTAAACATTAATGTTTTAAAAATGTAATATCTATTCATTTTAAATATCTAAACTTTCAAGCTATTTTAACCTTTTTTTTAAATCATCAATTTCCTTCTATTACATCCATATTATATGTTCTTAACTTAAAAGTAGTTCTTCAATCTCTAATTTATAACTTATACTCTATACCATGAACAGTTATTGTGGCTCCTTTCAAATGTCCCTATAACTTTATGATGGTTTACTCCCTATTATTTTAATTCATTTACAAACTTAAATATTATTTTCTTAAGAATTGTATAAGATGTTGTTTATACTCTTTCTTACTAGCTTTAAATATTTATACTAAAAAATAGCCTTTTCAAACATTATAGTAGTGTATATATAGAAATATATAATTAAATTAAATTTGTAATAGTAATATATTAGTATATATCATTATTATCCATCTAAAAATTATAATCATTTTGTTGATTAACCCTCCAACTTTTTTAAATTCTTTTCAATTATTTCACTAAAATTATTATTAATTTTTTAATACCTTTTTAATTATTAACTTTTTTAAATAGCTTTAATTGTTTTACTAAATCCATCAGTATATTATTTTTCAAGTAACTTTTTTTATAATTATATACTTTAATGGTATAAAGTATCAACATTAAATTCATACATAGAATTAAAAGATTCATCATTTTCTGTTTTTGAATCTAATGTTTTATTTTCATTCTATATTTAATTCATAAACTATTTATGAGTTGATTTAATTAAATGGGATTTCTTGGGTATTTCAATTTTCTTTTCTGATGCTAATCCTCCTGCTAATAATAAATCTTTTTAAATCTTCTCCTAAAACTCTTTATCATTAAAAGGATCATATTTAGGATAATTTGTTATATACTTTATAAGTTCTAAATCATTGTTTATCAATTTATTTTTCATCATTAATTTAGTTTTCTCTTGTTTCTAAATAAATGGAAAAATAGGTTAAATTTATTGATCACTTAAATCAGATGAATTTGGAGATGATAATTTTTATTAATCTTTAATTATTGCATTTTGTTTAAACTTACAATTAGTATATATTGCTCTTTTTACTTTTTCATTTTCAATATAATCCTTTATTTACAATTCTTCCATATATTCCTTAGCTCGTTTATTAACCAAATGACAAATAATATTTTTCTCTGGTAATGGATCATATTTAACTTTATCTGGATTTTAATGATTTCTTGTCTTCACTAATTAATATGGATTTTAATGTTTTATTATATTAATAGTATTTCCTTTATAAATTTATCTTTAAGTAAGAGGAACATCTTTTTCAATAAATTTATTCTATAGATCATGAATATATGTGTCACTTATATCATACATTTGTTTAATCATTCCTATATTTTTTAATTCTCTACTTCTCTTTACTAAATCTTCTTCTTCTCTTTTCTCTATCTTTTCAATAATAACATTTTTTATCATATCAAATCTTGATTAAGCTTTTTGTTTCTTAATTTCTTCTTAATTTTTTTGATTCAATAATTTTAGGAATCCTATTTAATGATCACCTTCATCTGTAACAGCTGATCTTCTAAATGCTCTTAAAATATTTATATTTTTTATATTACAAATTTATTTTTGGTCTTTTCTGCTTATTTAAAGCTGAAGGAATTAATTTATCTAATTTTTAATACTGATTTTTTTTTTAAACAAATTCTTCAGCAGATATTTCACCTATGATAAACTTTGTGAAATTGTTTCTAATAGAAGGACTGTTTAAAAGAGTATTATAAATTTTTAATGGTACTTCATGAAGATAAGCTCTATCTATTGTTGTAATTGTATTTCTTCTCATCTCTATTTTTTTTTTCTTTAACAATCCTTCAGACAAAAAGTCTCCAAAAACATCATTCCAATTTTTTAATCTCATGTCTTATTATCCTCCTTCTTATACATCACCTTTTACTACAATTTTAGGCATCTCCTAATTAGCAGACTCAGCTTGATGAAAAATTATATACAATAACTGAACGAGTTGTTTATAGTTATGACTCATTGTTGTTTTTTGGACTCTAAAGTACTCTAATTCGTTTAGGTATATATATAGTATTCATATTTTATATTAAATAATATTCTTATTTACTAATTTCCTCATTAGGTTACAGACTCATCTTTAGTAATCTTTTTAAATGGATAATCCTATTAAACATTATATTAAATCTAATTATATATATCTATTGAAGAGTCTTATAAATATCTACTAATCAATTTACTTATTTATTTTATTACTTCAATATCTATATATATTACTTCAATATATATATTACTTCAATATCTATATATATATTAATAAATAATTTCAAAAACAATTCTTTATAACATAACATAATTCAAAATCATTAGATAGGTTAATGAATACATTCTGTATTACAATTCTATATTTCACATTTTATTTAGATAAACAGATTAATCATATTAATTAGCTAAACTTAAATGTTTAAATAATAATAATTAAATTATCTAATATAATTACTACTATAAATGAAATCATACTTAAATAAGTAGTATTCAACTAAAATTTCAGATGGTTTTATACCTAAAATTCCCTTTATAAGTTATTATGATAAAGTTCCAATTCTATCAGCATACTATTTATATATTGAAGAAGAAAGATGGAAAGCAGTAAGAGATCAATCTGATCTAACTATACATGAAATAGCTAAATAAGCATAGTAATATTATAAATTTATTTTTAGTAATAATTGGCATTAACATCTAACAGAAGAACAGAAAAATGTGTTTTAAGAAAAGGCAAAATAAATAAAAAGTGAATCAGATGCAAAAGAGTATATGAAAATGTTAGAATAAACATATACAAGCAAAAAGAAAATAAAGAAGATTAAATAAAAACCTTAACCAAAAAAGAAAATAAAAACTTGATATTCTAAATATTTTATTGATTCTGATAAAATTCTGAAAAGCTTTTTAAAAGTAATCAATTATAATTTAATACAAAAATATAAAATTAGTCAATATCATATATTGATTATATCTGTTGCATTATAATATTTCAATATAAATCTAATAATTTTGGAATCATAGATTGGTAATATTAAGATTCTATTCTTATGTAATTCATATGTAATTCCTATTGAATTTTATAATTAAAAGCATGCTTGACTTATTATGTAATAATACCTATATATTATAGTTGAGTCATTCGATAAAATCTAATTGTTAAATTTCTCAAAGCCTATTGGTAATTTTTCTCAATTAATAAGAATTTGCATTATTTCATAAAATGTGATGCATGGATTTATTGTTTCAGATGTATTAATACGGAAATATGATATATTATATATAAATTAATATTATGTAATTTATATATAATAAAGTTAATTGAAGTTTGTATATTTCTCTATTTAAAAATGTTTCAATAAATGTAAATTAAAAAAGGAGATAGAATTATAAAACGGAAAACATTTGATATTTACAATATTAGATGAATAGAAATGAATAGTTGTTATTTATTGAATAATTTTAGTTATAAATTAATATAAATTTTAGTATAATTTTCAAATAATACAATATGAATACTTACAGCTCTGTTAAGTATGATAGTTTAATATAGTTAGATCCTTCGACTCATAGATTCAGGGAAGAAGAATGTAAGAGCCGAACATAGCCGTAATACATTAAAGACATTAATAAAGTCCAAAATATCACTCTCCTGAATCACACTTAGACAATTTCGTTAATTTGAAAGCTGTCGAACAATAACCTAAAACATTAAAGAAGAAAAAGCTTACATAAGGATAATAAGGCAAACCAAAAGCATAGACTCAATAGATCAAAAAACCTGCATAGTAATCAATGTCTGTGAAAAAATAAACAAAGAGAGTTACTTCTCCAAAAAAAAAGAAAGCTTAAACAGTTGATACAAAGAAGTAAACAAAAGTTATTAAACCTTCTTTATAATAAAGAAGAGAAGAATTAGGTTTAGGTTTACTTAATGAAAAGTAAATTAAACAACGAATTAGTATTATTCAAATTTAATTAGAAAAAATCAAATCAAAGACAAAAATAGTTGAACCATAATTGAAGAAGAAAATTTACCAACCAAATCATGAGATTTAACATTACATGGTACAAAAGAAAGCGATTGACAATACAAATTGCATGCAAAAATAATTGATATTTCTATTGGAAAAATAAAGAAAGTAAGGCAATCCAATTAAAAAGATTGGAGAATCTGGCCAAGTTGAATGAGTCTGTTAAAGAGATATTCAAAAAGTGTAAAACCTTAGAGAACTCACAACCATAAACACCAAAAGTGACAATGAAGAAAAAGAAATATGACATACCAATTGATATAGAATAAAGAAAATAATAGCCATTGTTTAATTAAAAAAGTAAAGAAGATAAATTTAATCAAGAATAATAAAAAAAATTAAAAAATGAAGAATAAAATAAATTAAAAAAACAATATGAAGATTTAAATAATAGATATTAATAACTTAAAAACCATGAACAAAATATAGATGTTAATGATTAATTTATACAAGAAATCGATGATGAAGATTAAGAAGATTAGTATTCATAAATTAGTGAAAATTAATTCACAGAAATGATTGTTAGTACTTTATCTAAAATTCCACCGACTAAATTTTTGCTTTAAAAAATATAAGAGATTCTTTAATAATAAAATGATTTAGACCCAAATGAATTAACTAATCAAGATTAATTAGTCTTGTAATATCATTTTATGAATGAGGCTGCAACTAAATTGTAAAGTGTTTGGAGAGGTTATTCAATTAGAATGTAATTACTACATGAATTGTAAGAAATGTTAGAATAATAACATGATAATTAGGATTAAGAAGAAGATTAAGATTAAGAATCTGATGAAGAAGTACAATTAAAATATGAGTCACCTTCTTTACCATTTAAATAAGAATAATAAAATAATTAAGAACTAAATTAATAATAAAAAATTTCATAATAAAAATTTTATTTATCAGCTCCAGATGGAATGCAATAAAATTAAAATTTAACTAAATAACGATATTAGCCTTAATAATAATAATAATAATAGTAATAATAATAGTAATAATAATAATAATAATAATAGTAATAATAATAGTAATAATAATAATAATAATAGTAATAATAATAGTAATAATAATAATAATAGAAATTGTAATAATAATTATACTAATAATAGCAATTAGAAGAATAATAATAATTTTAATAAAATTAATAATCATAATAATAATTAAAAGATCTACCATTTTAAAATAAAAATAGATATGAAAAAAACTTATCAGATTAAACAGATGATTTAGTTATTGTTTAATAACCTAATAGCCCTGCAAATTAAGATATGTATTTCTATAATCCTTTCGGATAAAATGTATAATAATCTTTAGAAAAACAAGTTCATTACTCGAATATCAAAAGTTCAGTAGTAAGTGAGGAAGATCAAAAAAGCGCATTGTCTCATTCTGTAATTTAGTAAATATAATAAGAATTAGAATTATGGAATAGTCAGATTGAAAATATTATAAAATAAGGTCCAGAAAAATAAGCATTTGCAAATGTAAAATAATAAATGTCACAAACAATTTTGAATATAGTATCATAACATATTAAGAAGCAAAAAGAAACAAAGACTCATGAAAGAAGGGATTCTGAATAATCAGTTGAAATGAGAATCAGAAGTTAACTTGAAGCTAATAATGAAAAAACATTTAATGATGCTCGTAAAAGATTACAAAAGACTCATGAATAAAGTGAAGAACGATTATAATTATCATCTAAAGAGAATGATGTGAATAGATCTTCATTAATGTCTTTATAATCATAATTAATGAGGAAGGAAACTGAATTACTAAATATGAGAGAAGAAGCTATTAATTTAAGATATAAAGCAGAATTGAAAAAAATATAAGATGATCCAATAAAGAAATTAGAGCTTGAGAGTTGGTTAGAAAAAGAGAAAGAAGATTTAAAAAATACAAAATAGGCTATAGAGATAAGTAGAAAAAGAGAGGCTAAAGCAATATAGAAAATACAAAGAGATTTATAAATAGTTTAAACCTTTGATGAAAACAATCCTAAGTTATAGAGTTTAAAAAAATAAGTTGATGAATAGCTTTGTTAAAGTAGTACGATAAAATCTTAAAAATAAATTGGATCAGATATCAAGATTATTAATCATTTTGATGTAGAATAAAATGATGACTTAGATGAAATGCCAGAAACATTTTCAGAAGATTTGTAAAATGATAATATAGATTCAAGAAACTTTATGAGATAAAATATTATAGAATCTGATAAATAAATAGAAACTTATTAGACTTTAAGTGCAATAACAAATGATATATTGGATGAAATAGTACAAAATTTAACAGAAGGTATTAAAATTGAATAATTTAGAATTACTTCTTAATAAAGATCATTTTGAATTTATAATATCAAATTTGATTAGTTAGTCTGTAATTCCTCAATTACCTACTTCGATTAAAGATATAAAAGAATATATTAAATAATTATTTTAATATATATTAGAACATCATAAAGAGGAATTGATTCAAAATTTAAATATTCCATATGGATTTACCCCATTTAAAAGAATGTAATTAATACATGGATATGATAATGATGGTGAAGAATTAGAAGATGAATTTCATTAAAATGAAGAAGATGTCTAAATAGCATTTCCATTAGATGAAAAATTATTTTAAGAATTTGAATCTTATAGATTATAATTAGAAAATGAACCTAATGATAATGCTTAATTTGGAATGAAAGAATTAGAACATATACATAATAAAGCTGTATTTGATGCATGTAATGAGGCTTTGAATTATGAAAGACCTAATTTTTTAAGTATAAAATTATTATATAAAAATAGATTCTGGTTTACCATATCCATGGTAAAATAAATCAAATTGCATAATAATTACAAATGAAGATTTAGAAAATATTTTAAAAAATATGGAAAATAAAATTATTAATTGGTCTGGTACCCTTGGAGGTTTCTTACCAATAGAAGATGATTCTCAAATTCCTGAAGAAAAATAAGAAATTTTAGATGAAAAAAATTAATAAATGATGATCCAATAATTGCATTAATTAGAAAATCCTTTATTATTTGATTCATAATTATCATAATAAATGTTTGATAATATAGCTTAGATAAGAGATGAAAGATTATATAAAATGCTAATATCAGATGTTAATATTTTATTTTATTTTAGATTAAAGAAAGTGAATTTAGATGGTATTTATTTGAAGATGACAGAACTGAATTTTTAATGGAACTTGGAGATATAATATTTGAATAATTAGTAGAAGAAATGGCATCAGAATAACTCTAGTTATGAATATATATTTAAATTATCAAAGTACAAAAGCTCTTTTAAACAAAAACATTTTAATTCATAAATATTTTAACATACTATTTTATTTAATATATGATATTGTTATTATTTGCTACAATAACTTCAATATTATCTTTACAATTTGGATATGAGGTAGATAAAGACTAATAGATATGCTTTACTGATAACTTTTCCAAAGATGATGTATTTGACATAAAAATTAGTGCAAATTCATCAAATTATAGTTTGAAGATAGCTGAAGCTAATACATAATCAATTGATAGTTTATATGATAAAAAAGGATCTTGGGAACATAATTACTAATATTAATCAACATCATCTAATGCTCATGTTAGATATTGTTTAACAAATCTTGAGAAAGACATAATCATTTTTAATATTACATATAAAACTGGATCAGAATTAGCAAATATGGGTAAAGTAGCCAAAATTTCAGATTTAAATTAAATGGGAGGAATCATTTAAAAATTAAATTCTTAACTTGATGATATTAAAAGAGAAAGATCTTTTTTAATTGAAAAATATGATCACATGTCTAAAGTTTAAGGTTCCATATCTAAAAAACAAATTGCTTTTGGTTTTTTATGTTTAGGCACATCTATGATCATTACTGCAATCACTGTCAGTATGATTAAAAGAATTTTAAGATAGAAAAAAGAATCATGAAAATTTATTTTATAAATTGTAGAATTATAGTTATACATATATTTTTAATTCAATATATTTAATATTTCTTGAATTAAAAAATATCTAACTATCTATTTATAGTATTGTTTAGGAGAATTTTCAGTCATACATAACATATTACAGTTTCCATTATAGTAAAATTTCCTGTTTCATCTTTTTAAACCTTACATAATTAATTTATTTTCTAAATTATTTTATAATAATACTTATCTACATATATAACAGTTTGGTGACTGCTATAACCATTATTTTAAACAATCCTTACAAATCCCTCCATGTCTACAAGGGAATATAACAATTTGAGGTTCTTTTAAAAAACAAACTTAACATTTTTCATCATTTTACATTAATTTTGACTCTTTTTCAGGAGAATGAATTTAATCTAATCTAGCAACAAATTCAAAGGCATTCAATTTAACTTTTTAATTTATTACACTACAATTGTTATTTGTAACATTTTAATTTTATTATATCTATTAAGAGGATGATTTAAAATATTCAAAATATGTTGATGATATTTAAATTAATTTTTTTGGTAAAGATATTCGTAAAGTATTATTTATTTTTGGTTATTTTTAAACATTCTTAGATGTTTTTATTTCTTCTTCAAAACTAATATCTTGAATATAATTTCTATTTTTGATATAATAACATACTTGATATGATTTCTAAAAACTGTAGAGAATATAAATATTATGAAGGTTTATAAAATAACTATGATACTAAGTGTAAGACTTGATTATCTTATTGGATAGTTAATTATTTCTTAATTTTAACAAATTATATAACAAAACCACATTGGAATTCCACTAAAACTAAAAAAGTACAAAATCAACCATACACTTCCTATCAATTGTGATTTAGTTGCTCTCCTTAATAAATAATCATGCGTTATTTCAATTATTGAAAGAATTAGAATAAGATGAAAAATAAACAATATAACCAGTAAACTCCAAGACACACTAAAAATTACAAACCAATTCCAATCAATCATGCCTTTCCATTTAAATATTATAAACATTAATTAAAGTGCCAATAATGTTTTTATTCCTTGTATATACTATTTTTTATAAAATAAATACTATATGATAGCGTTGTATATAAACATTAAGAAAAAATTTTGAAAACAGTATAGCAAATAATCTTAATAAATAATAGGCTAAGACAGCATAGCCTAAACATTGAATTTCTATTTATTTAAATCTAAAATGGATCAATAAAATGATTTTGAAAATAGTTGAAAAAAATATATCAAATATTGAATTTCCTACAGCAAAATTAAATCTAAAGGTGAAGGTTAAATTTACTTAATTTTCAAAATGATAAGAAATAACATCATCATAGCATCAAAAGAGAAATAAAAAATTATTAATTGTTAAAGGTCATATGAAAACACCAAATGAGTCAGATAAATTAGTAAATATATATTAGTAAATACTAATAAAAAGAGAAGCTTTGATAATTATGAGATTGGGTCATTTTGAATAATAGGAAAATCTTATTATAATTAAATAATTTGTTAGGATCTATGTTTGTTTGAATAAAATTATAAATTACCTCATTTCTTCAATTTAATCTAATTTATAATTTATTATTATTAAAGAAAATAAGAATAAATGAGATGTGTATATAAATTTTAAATTTATTGAATTAATTTTTGAAACAAATTCTCATTATTAATGTAGAATGAATAAATAATATTAATTAAGAATTAGTTAATTATTAATTTTTTTTATATATTGGATAAATTGATAGATAATTTAGAAATAAGAAGAGTTAAGTTAAATATTAACAAAAAACTGTATTTTCTTAAAAATTTGATTGACTCATAAATCTTGAGGGTATAATCGTATAAATTCTGGAAATTTAGGATAACCATTTTCAGCTAATCCACAATATTTATAAGTTATTTTTGATCCAATAGGAGGTCTTTACTTTTTAATTCCAATTTTTAATCCTAAACTAACTTCAAATTCTAATCCTTCTTCATTACGAACTAAAAAACCTCCTAAAACATCATCTTTTTTCATATGAGTATCTTCTATATAATCAATAATCACAGCTTCTGCATCTAAAGATGATTTAACTTTTAATAAACTTTTTGATCTAATTCCATCATATAAAGAATCTGGATCTCTTAACATTAAACCTTCTCCTCCATTATTTTAAACTTCTGCTAATTCTTCAGCTAAATGTTCTTTACCTTTACAAATTTTATGAGGTACATAAACAAGATGTGGATTTTTAATTTTTTCAATTGCTTTTTTTAATTTAGCATATCTATCACTAAATGGTTCTTAAAGAAATGGAGCATCAAAAACCATATATTTAATAATTTTCCATGCATTTGGATCTGGACTTCTTTTTCTAACTGATGTTAAAACTTTATTAAAAGTTCCTCTTTTAATCCATAATTCTCCATCTAAATAAGTTGTAGGCCAACCTTCAATAAAATATGATGGAAATTTTAATGAATATCCATTTCTAGTAAACATTTCCATACCTGTCCAAATCATTCTCATTCCATCTAACTTTTCACTCATATAATATCCTTTTGGATCTATAGACACAGTCCAATTAGAAGCTAATAAACATGATATTCTTTAACTTTTTGAAAATGTAGGTCCAAGTCCTAAATTTTCTCCAAGATTAGGTCTCATTTTATATTTTGGCCATATTGATATTAATTTACCTTATGTTGCATCATCTAATAATTCAGAACATGATTTATCTGGTAAACCCAATCCTGGTTATCTTAATTTTTATTTTTTTTCTATTTTTTATACAATTTATTCTTTCTTACTAAGTTATTTATCATCAATTTCACCTTTTTATTATTAAAATTGTTTGTATTTCAAATCTAATTCATATTTATATTCAGCTTCAGGAAAACTAATTTATTCATAAGTTTTCACTATTTCTGATGGTTTAATTTCATTAAATCCTTATCTAAGTTTAATTTTAAGCATTTCACTTATTTCTTAGATACCTTCTTAAAGTGAACTATATTTTTTAAGTTCAATTTATAGATTTTCAGGTTTTTCCCAATTTGTATTGAGTATACCAGAACGAATTTGTAAAGTTACAGGATTGGATGATAAAAGTTTACTATGCCAGAATAGTTGATTTTACTTAACTAGATATATTTCAGAATTCATGATAAATAATTACATCCATTTATAATCAAAAGATTTATAGCAAAAAAATCATTTTAATGTTTAAGTGAATTCTCGCGGATTTCTTTTATTAATTCTTTTTTTTAAAGATATTTCTTAACAATAAAAACTTTTTACTAGACATATAAATTTACCAAATGATTTTATTATTGTGAGTTTTGTTTTAATTTACTGACTTCAATAATATATTTTAGATATTGAATCATAAAAAATTACTTAAATAATTTTTTATTTGATTTATAAATATACAATCAATCATTATTTATATTACTCTCTACATTTCTAATAATAAGAATATTTGTATCATATTGATAATAACTTAATTTTTTGTTTATATGATTATCTTTAAAATAAGATTAATAATTTACTTAACTTTTCTAGAAATTTAAATAGTATAGAATTTTATTCGCATTATTATAAAATTAAAATTATGAATTAATTAATCACTAATTCAATTAAGATCTAAATATTTATAGATATAAAAATCACTAAAATTGCTTTCATCTTGCTCAAAATCTTCCATAATATTTCTTATGTATGGTTTATGATGAAAAATTTTAAGTCCAGAGCCAAAAAAGTCTGAATTTTGCTTTTACTATTATGTATTTTTGTTATAACTATTGTCCGATAATACATCCTTATGATTATCTTATTATTGCTATTTGCATTCGACTGAAACATATATTTAATTTATAATACCATATTTAATAGTAAGTAATTCACATGGAATGAGTTTCAATTCATGATGTAATTTAGGATTGACTTTATTGATTTCATGCATTAGATTTAATCTCCTCACTTTTAGAATGTTTTAATATATTTTCTACTCCTATTCTTATCGAAGTTTATGAATAGATTTTACAATAGGAATCTTTTAAGTGATTGAGTCTAAACTTTGCTTAAATGATTTTTTATGACTATAATTCAAGTTTTATAAAGGTGGGCAACTTTGCTTGATTTCATAAAGACCCTATAAAAATTCTCCTCCAGAAATCATAATAATTTTAATTAATATTCGTTAAAACTCATTAATTTCCTTATTTCTGTTTTTCCTCAATCATTTTTAACTATTAATTGATTTTATCTAATAATTCTTTAATATTCTCTCAATCTTTGTATATTTATTTGAGCTCATTTATCATTTTTAACTTATTCTTGACCTTCCTAATCATCAATTATTCATTAATACTTAAAAATAATTTAGATTAATACTTGAAAGTACGAAAGTTTAATGTTATCTTCATTCATAATTTTATTCATTTAACAACTATATTCAGTAGATAAGAGATGAAGATTAAAATACAAATGTTTTTAATTAGTTAATTACTTTTTATTCATCAAATCAAGTCATTCTTATAATAATGATGTTACAGTTAAATCGAATTCAAATATTCTACTTATAATCAATTGATATAAATTATCCTTTTCTACATCTTTAAAGAAAAAGGTATTTATAGGACTACCAATTTCATTAAAAATATTAAAAGCATTTATTCAATAATTATTATCGTCTTTTAATTATTTAATTGATTCATTTGTTTACTATTCTCATCTCTACTTTATATTAATATCTTTCTTAATTCAGGATATATAAAATAAGATTCCAAAATAGTAATTGAAGAATCTTTGAATTTTACTGCTCATTATTCAAAATCGTATTAACTTCAATTTGCTATTATGTTTTTAGGATCTCCAATTAAACATATTAATTTTTGCTAATGTATTATTTTAGATTTCAAATAAACAAGAAGTAAAAGTTTAATATTATCCAAGAACTTTTTGTAAGTCAAACATCCATAATAAAGCAGTTACTTATTTTAATTTTGTGTATTTTTATTGATTATAATATTTTTATGATTAATAATAAATAATTATATCAAAATAGATTTGTTAAAATCAAATATACAATACTAAATAGATTTATCAATACTCAATTTATTTTTTATACATAAAGATTCTCCACTAGATGGTCTAATTGTAATTATAATTATCTAACTTCTTAATCTTTATCAAATAATTCTTTAATAATAATAATAAAATTTTACTCATGAATCTAATTTTATCTTCTTCTTCATATCCAAATTTCTAATATATAATGTCATCAATTAATGAATTCAATAATATTGGTAAAATAGCTGAATTATCATTAGATTGTCTATTATTGAAAACCTTAATTACTGTACTAAATTATTCATTTTTGTCACGATTTTCTATGACATTAATCTTATATTTAATTAATTAAATTCCTTATAATTTATTAAGCTTAAATTTAGCAGGTAGAATATCTTTAAGATTTTATTAAAAGAATACTAGCTAAGAGACAAATTCTTATTTCTAAGAATAAAACAAGAATGACTTTTCATAATCTTCCTAACTAATATTCAATGATTATATAATTATATTAATTCCATCCTCAGTTAATTAATATATTTCTTCATCCATCTATTCAATTAAATCTATATATTGATCATATTTCTTCTATTCTAATATCTTTCTTCTTTCATCTCTAAATTTATTCAATAATTAAATATATTCTTAATGAATTATTTCTTTTCTGCCTGCTAATACTAAACTCATAGTTTCTTCTTCTAAGATATTTTCATCATCCAAATCTTCTCTATATATTACAGGGATAGTATCTCTTATTAATTTAATTCTATCTTATTCATCTAATTCTTAATATCTAGGTAATAACACTTTATTTTAATCTAATTCTTAAGGCTCAAAATTATCATTGTCTATATTATTTTAATTCTATTTCATCTCAGAAATATTCTTCTTTTATATTGGTCTTCTATATCTTTTAACTCTTCCAAATAATTCTTTTCCTTTTGTATTCGTTGTTTATTCAATCTATTCACTGAAAAATGATTATTATTTATTCTTATTTACCATAAATGTTATAGGTGGATCTGTATATATTAATTATTCATTCTATTGTTTTTACTCCTATTAATTTTATTTGAATATAATCAATTTTGATTTTAAAACTTACTTATCTCCTTCTTATTTATTCTTTGTCTAACATTTTATAGGATCTGATTTTTCAATAAAAACATCATTTGATATTACATTTTTTGGTTTAGGCATTTTATCCTATACTAATTTATCTATTTCTTCTCTTGTATAACTTTTTGGTTTTACATCAAGTATCTTTAAATCAATCTTTGGAATTGTTGTTATATTCTAATTATTTAAGATTTTATCAGCATTTTTAATTTCATATTGTGTCAATTTTGAAATTGAATTACAGTGATGAATATCATCTATTTATTATATTCTCATTCTATAAGCTTCTTCTATTTATTTAGCTTCCTCTTTCAATTTTTAGTATTCTTCTTTTGTAAATAATCCTCTACTCTATTATTTAATATTATTTATTGTATCCACTTCATCATTTATATTTGTTTTATCTTTTATTTTTGTTTATTTTCCTTAGACTGAAATCCATTCTTCTTCATCTTCATCTTAAACTTGTTACTCTTCAATTTTTTATTTTTATTTTTATTTTTTTTCTTTTTCTTTTTTATTTTATATTTTAATGGATTCTAATGATTCTTTTTAAACAAGATTCTACTATTTACTTTATAATTCAATTTATTGTTTTAATTATTATTCATTTATTTTTTAATTCTTTTATAATTACTGAACTTAATTATTAAACAAATAATTTTACTTGATTTTGCTTATAATTAAACTTCCTCTTCTTTTTTTTATATATGATTCAATTATTTCTTTTTATTTCCAACTTCAACCCATTCATCATCATTATTATTATCATCATTTTCTTGTTAAACTACTTATTATTCAACTTTCTTTTATTTATTCTCTTTTTTAATTTCATTTTTATCATCTAATTATTTTAAATAATGACTTGTACTTTTTATTTTCTGCTCTATTCCAGAATCTTATTTTTTTTAAGTTTATTTTTATTTATTTGACTTTTAATTTTCTTACTTATTTTCTAATAATTCTTATTCCTCTTTCTTGAATGATTAAGTTTCCACTTCTTTTGTTGTTGATCTAACTGATTATTCTTTCTATTATGCTGAAATCTTCATATAATTCTCATTTTTTATTTATTATTTTTTCTTTGATTAGTTTTTAAAATTTTATTTGCTTTATTATTGAATTTGGATATTAACTTCTTCTTGAATAAATTTTTGATACTAGTATAATAAATTAAATGGTTTACCATTAATAGAAGTAGAGCTTTTGAAGAGTAAATCAACCATCTAATAATTATGAAATATAATATACATCAATCCAAAAATCATTAAAGTATAACCTACATAAGCTTGCATAACGTCATTTTTCTTTTTATTAAATATTAGGAAGACTCCACAGAATCTAATAGGATTTATCAATAATACATTGCTATAGGTGCTAATTAATTTAGATTATATTTCATTTGTGTAATAATTATTAATATATTATGGAAAATAAGAATGCTTTATTTATTTAAATAAACTTAAAAAATACACAAATCATCATTCTTTCTTTTTATCTCTTCTATCTTTTTTATTATTTACTCTTAATTGGTATGATTATTATTATTATTTGATTGGTTATTGGTAATTATAATTTGATCCACTAAATAAAAGAGACAAAGAAAACAACGAACCAACATTACCAAATATAGATTGATGTATATGCGTTTCCACAAAGCAGAATCAGGTTAGAATTTTATTGATATTTAATTTTCAATAAGAATAGTAAAAAATGTTAGATATCTTAATTATTAATTAAAAAGAAATTATTCAAGAAATTGGTTATTAAACAATTAGAACCGCTTACAATTTGTTTGAAATTTATAAACGTGTCTTAAATTATCCAACTAACTTATTAAAATTTGAATTTTTTAATAATTATCATACTAACAATAATAGTATTACTTAACCAAAAATCTAATAAGAAATGATCCCAAAAAGCATTCTCTTAAATAAGGAACTTTATAATATTTCCAAAAATTAAAAAAATAAATGTCCAATAACAATTTAGAATCATCTAAACTCATAAACTTAAGTTACATATCTACAATCTTTCTCATTTTGAAATCCTATAAAGGTAATAGATAACTATAATTATATTATAAATATGGTTCTATATTTATCATCAAAAGGATCACTTAATTTAAACACCCTATCATTATAATTAATTTCCTAGTTCTTAATACAACTCTTTTAAATTTACTTTCATTGCTATATGATTTATATATAACAAGTTTTGTAAATGTCTAAAACATAAGTTTATGAAAATTCATTCAAATTTATTTAATTAAATTATTCATGTCCTTTGATCATCTTAATGATACTAATATCACTAATCAATCAGAAAAAGAACATGTTAATGAATTTTATGATTATCAAATTCGTAATATGTATGATAAAGAAAAATATATTAATCCACATGATATTGCTGGATAACCAGGATTAGTCACAAGTTAAGCTGTAGAATTAGAAAAAAAAAAAGTATAATTTAGAATGGCAAATGAAATCTATTTAAGAAAACATCCAGAATTATCTGTTATGCTATCTATTTTCTTATTTAGAGTATTAGAAGAAAAACCTGATGATGTTTTAATCTATGCAGGTAAATTCTTTGATTAGTAAGTTTCTTTTTCTATTTTATTATAGGGAACATCTAGAACAAGTTATATTGATTTAAAAAAAACATTATTTAGAAAATGGAAATGCAACTGCTTGAATCTAATAAATATTAAAAATTTATTATATTTTTTTATAACCAATTTTATATTCATTTATCTTGATTAATCTGCTATAATCCTTTTTTTTTGTTGCTTTATTTTTTTTATGCTCATTTTATATTATTTATTATAAACTAAGTATCAATAATTACCGCCAGAATAACTAGAAAGACTTATATTTGTTATTTTACTTTAACTATTTAAATATTCAGTTTATAACGAAATCTAATTAATGTATTTTACTTTACTATATGTTGGGAAACTAGAATACATAATTAAAGGAAGAAATTCTTAAGGAATAAAATATTTAAACATAAAAGAATAAATAAAATGATGATAATTAACCTAATACTAATCTTATTAAAAAGTATGAAATCTAAAATAATCTTATTGTTTCTGAGGCTATAAATCCAGTTCATAAGAAAACCAATTATGTGAACAAAAATACTTAAAAGAAAAAATATATTGAAACATAATAAATAGACGTAATATTTATTAAAAATTATTTGATTACTTAATATTTATAAGCATAAAAAAAACAATAAAAAGTAACAAAAAAGGAGAATAAAAACTTATAGCTGTTTTAGAATTATGTGATGGTCCAGATTTATATTATTACATAAAAAGATTCAAATCTTTCCCAGAAAAGGAAGCGAAATAATTGATATATTCTATAATATCAGCAATAAAATATCTGAATAATCATAAGAATAAAATTATTCATTATGGTTTAAAACCTCAAAACATCTTATTTCATCAAAATGATCTAAAAATTTCGGATTTTGGATTATGTAAAGTTTTAGAAGATGATAATTTTAAACTCTAATTAACATCATAAGGAGTAGAAACTTATTGGTATTTACCTCCTGAATGTTTTCATTTGGTAGATTAACCACCTAATATTTCAAGCAAAGTTGATATTTGGACTATATGAGTCATTTATTTTGAAATGCTTTTTGGAAAAAAACCTTTTGGATAGGGATTAAGTTAAAGAATAAATATTAAAAGAATAGTTAATAATTTTATGAATTAATTTGATTATCATTAAATCTCAAAGTGTAACATTCTCACCAAAACCAATGATATCAAATGTATGTAAAGAGTTTATTAGAGGGTGTTTAGCATATAATTAAGTAGATAGATTAGATATACAATAAGCTTTTAATCATCCTTACTTTATTAAGAGATTGAATTGATTTTATAGTTATTTATTTAAATAATAATTATAAATTAATAATTCTTAAGAAGAGATGTTTTAACATAAGAATAATTTAAATATGAAAACCCATAAAGTATATTAGATTTTTATCAATTATTATCTATAATTTTATATATATTTATATCATTTCTCTTTAGAGTAGAAATTATTGTTATTATGATTTTACAATTAATAAATTATCCAGTCGAGGGAACCGTAGAATAAGAGTAATCAAAATCACCTAAAAGAAGGGGAATATTAATAAAGCATTTTCGTTATCCTATGAAAATTTAAACTAACAATCTAATTTATCCTCTTCGATCTCCAAAAATTTAATCTAGTAAAAGTAGTACGAGATAAAATGAAATAACATGGTGTAGTGATAATAATTAAATAAGAGAACATAATTAAACATTTTATTAAACAAATAGCTTTAAACCTTTTTTTAGATTGAATAGTGAATAAAAGAATAGATTTGCTATAATAAAAAAGGTATTCAAAAAGGAAGATGAAAAGGATTGTATATTTTTAGAGAGAAAGTTAAGTTTATTGAAATTTAATTTTAAAGAAAAGGAAAAAGAGAAAGAGGAAAGCCAAAAAGTTTCAATGGATAATTCTTAGATTAAGATTCCTTAAACAGCATAATCAACAAGAAAGAGACAATATTTAAATAGCAATAAGGGTTAATTATTTTAGAATAAAATCAATAGAAGATTTAATAGTGATACAGATTTATAAGATTAAAAGCCAAATCGAAAACAAATAATATCATATTCGATAAGACCTAATACTCATAATTATGATCGTGATCATTAAGAATTTGCTTAAAGCATCTTAAATTAGTATTTGAGAAAAAGTTTGTAAGATTAATGATAGTGTAAAATTCTTTAACTAAATATTTTTCAATCAGCTTTAGTTTCATATTTAGTGGCATTTGGATCAAAATAATATTTAATATGAGCATGTGGTGATGTACCATTTGCATTTTCTAAAAATATATGTAAATTTCCTTCAGTATCAAGAAGTACTTCACTCTCAACAATACCACCTAAATATTATTAATATATATTGATACCTTTTTCTAATGGTTCACATTCAATAATTTCTTTTTTCTCCCAATCTACTTTTAGTACTTTTTAACTTTCTTTAGCATACATAGTTAAACCACCTATTAATAATGCTAAATTCTTTTTAACTCTAACAGCCATAAATCTTCTTAATGGTAAAGGAAGTTTTAAATTACATTTTTCCCATCTATTTTCATTTATTAAATATCTCTCTATAGTATCTAAAGTTCCTTCTTCTTTATTATAACCACCAAATAATATTATTTCATTATCATTAATTCTACAAGATGCAGCTTAACTTTTTGGTTATTTTAATTCAGCTAATTAAACCCATCTCTCAGAAGTAAGATCATAATAAAGCATTGATGATAATTAAATTTTATGTTATTCATCATATCCTCCAATACAATAAATCTTTTAATTATAATAAAGACAAGAACAGAAAAATCTATTCATAGGAATTTAATGTTTCATTAACTCTAATCTATCATTTTAATAAACTCTAAAATTAGATTCTTAAAATCCTCCTATTAAATAGAAAGCTCTTTTATCTGGAACAAAAAGTGTTGTAAATTATCTATCTAACTCAAAATCTAATTTAGCAATTTAACGCCACTTTTATTTAGATGTTGAGAATTTACTAATTGTTTTACCACCAAATTCAAACCATAAACAAGAATCATTCAATATTAAAGTAGAATCTTTATAAAAAGCCGATTATGATATAACAGGTTATTTAATAATTTAAACTTATTATGATTAAGATATTTATTATTATTTTTATGATGATGGTTATTCTCTTAATGGTTATTTTGGTTTTTGAGATTACTCTATTACTTATGATGATCCAGCATTTTTCATATGTTAAGTAATAATATTTTTAAATTAAACTTCTGCATCTTATTATGTTCTATAAGGAGGACCTCTCTTTAACATAGTATTATAATGCTAATTATATAATAAAATGTATTCATTTATAGCAATATTCTCTGACATCTTTCCTGATTATTATTTCTCTTCATGTTCTATAAAAAGTTATTCGATCTCAACATATGATGGTCTCTATGCTTCCTCAAAAATTAACATCAACTTTATTATTGACACATATGCAGGACTATACTTTTATTCTAATTATGCTAAACACTATAAAATTATTTATTCTCCTTCACTTGATTATGTATTATTAAATCCTGTTACTTCTTACATTGCACTCATTTAATACATTACTAAACCTGTTGAAAATACATCTGATTTATATATATTATGTTCTACATATCTACTATTTCCATCAATTACATGAGCCTTCCATAAAATTGGTGATAAATATTAAGGTGTACCTCTAATTGTTGCCATTGTATAAGTATTTTTTGCTTCATTATCTAAATCAAAGAAATAATCCTTGCTTTCACCAAAGTCTATTAGTTTTAATTCACCATTTGTTATCATAAATAAATTTGCTGGCTTTATATCTCTATGACATATTCCTTTTTATTGTAAATAAGAACATGTTGATATTATGCTAAACAACATTGTTACCAATTCATTTTCTTTCCAAAACTAATTTGGTTTCTTTCTTTTTCTATAAAGGTTTTCTAAATTTGTATTATGATCCATATATCTATATTCATAAATCTCATTAATACTCTGTTATTATTCCTAATCTAAATGTATTATAAAGAGTTTCAGCAAAGTAGTATCCATAAAATCGAATTACATTTCCACAATTTTATACTTTGCTAAGTTAAACTGCTTCTTCTTTGTATTCATTCAATTTCTCCAAATTAGTTGCTTCAATCTCTTTTAATGCATATATCTTATTTGTTTATATATGTTAAACCCGATATATTTTAGTATGTTTCTTACCTGAGCCTAACAGTTCTAATTTTTTGAAATCTTACTTCCTGAACATACTGTTTATTATATTATTAATTATAATATATAAATTTCTACATAAAAATTACTTTACATTTTAACTTTTAGTAAAGATTTTAGAATTGAAATTAATTCAATATTTATCAAACTAAAAAAAAGAAAATGTAAATAATTTTCTTATTATCTGTTAGAAGAAAAAGAATAAATAAAATAGAATTTAATCTTTTTTTTTTACTAACTCAATTTATCATTTAATTTTAAAAATAGTATTACTTTTTTATTACTATATTTTGTATTTAAAAATTTAATAAATAAAAAAGTTCTTTCATTTCTAATTATGATCTAAAGAAAATTATTCACATTTTATTAATTTTTATCTTAATATTATACTATATTAACCTTAAATTATAATTTTTAATAATAATCAAATGAAAACTAATGGAAATGAAAAGTCAAATATTGCTTAAACTTAAGTTAAACTCAAGAGAACCAAGCAAATGAAATTAAGATCAAACAAATCCAAAAGATAAAGTATTATTAGAAGGTACTATATAAAAAAAATATTGAATAGAAAAATGCCTGGTAATAATTCAACTTTATCATTAAAAATCATTAAAACAAAATCTCTTCGAAATGATAAAAAATTAAAAAAAAAAACTAATCATATTAAAGATAATCAATCAAAAGATCTTTAATAACAATAAAATATGAAATAAGGATAAGAAATAAAATTAAAAAAAAATAAACAAACCGTTTCCTAAAGAAATTAAAGAAAAAATGAAAAGCTTTAAGAAATGATAGATGCATAATTAAAAGCCCAAATTAATTAAAAAATGTAATTCCATGAAAAAAAATTCATTGCTTTAACAGAAATAGGAATTCCAACAATAAATTTAAATTAGGATACAATTCTACAATTTATTTAAAAATATCAAAATGAAATAAAATTAAATGATGAAAAGATTATATCAAAATTAATTGGAACAATAGGTGAAGGATACATTGAAAGAGGAGATGAGGTTAATTTAAATGTAGAAACAAAGGAAATTATGATTCAACAATAAGTTGAGTAATATTTAGAGAATTGTGGAATAAAACTTGAATGGACATCAGAGAAATGGAAGAGAATAATAAAAAGAACTTTATTTGTAATTCCATATTATAATATGCCTAATGTAGTGAAAAATAAACATTTAAGTGGAAGAGAAAGATATACAATTATGTTCAAAACTTTAAATCTTTTTACTTTGATTAATAGATGGAGCCATACTCAAATGTTACACTAATTTTGTTAAAATTTTCCATTTTAAGCATTAGATGATATAGAAATAAAAGAGTTAGTTAATGAAAATGAATTATACAATATAAGAAAAATTCGAGAATATTTAAGTCGAATTATGAATTCATTAAATAACATTTAATAATTGAAATATCAAATAGAATTTAAGGATGATCTATATTACATGACTAATTAATTGTAAGATCTAGCAGTAGAATATTATTTAAGTAAAATGTAAGTTCTTTAACTTAAACAAGTAATAATGCCATCTAAAATTATTGAATAATTGGAAAATTTTAAATCAAAAGATGAAATTGATAAAATTACAAATTAAGAACAAGTTTAATAAAAATGTAATGATTATTCTTAAGAAAGATTATAAAAGTTTTAATAATAATTATAATAAAAGAAAAAGATACAAATCAATGTTATTAAATCAAAGACTTTACTAGAGTATTTCAAACCTAAAAAGAATTAGACTTAAAATAGTAATAATAATAGCAATTTAGATGTGAATTCTCAAAGCGCCTTTGATAACAGATAAAAAAATGAAAAAAATGAGAAATAGAAAAAACTATCTGATAATAAATCTTAATTATAATACTTTGATGTCTTAGAGGACTTTATTTAAAACAAATTAGCTAAACAAACTAAATAAGATGAATAAAAAAAATGATTTATAATCATAATCTAAAAATATAGTTTATTATTATCTTTTAATAAGAAATTATTCTCAAAATTATGATTAAAAATAAAAATAAATTCTCATTTAGAATAACGAATATTCATGATTAAAAAAACATAATGATAATTACCCATAGAAACATAAATTTTATAGATATAAAATAAAATAAACAAATTATTTTCTTAAAAGGGGTAAAAGAATTAATTTTTTAAAGTAATTATGATTTTTAGAAAAATGTTATTAATTAATTATGTCATTCCAACGATGAATAAAAGGATATTAATGAAGAAATAAAGTATTGAATGAATACTCTTTCAAAATTAATAGGGATATCTGATTGGTTATAACAGTGAGTCTTAAATTAGTAATGTTAGATAATTAATATAATTTATAAATATAATGATGTCTGAATAGGAGGATTTGTTTGATTTCGATAATTAACCTAATTGGAATTCTTATGAATTTGATATAGACAATTAAGAAATGGAAAATTAACAACTAAAAAGAATAAAAGAGTAGTGCAATGTGAAATTATTGAAAAGGCAACTTGTATGCTTGTTTGGTTTTCCAACTATTTAGGTAGATAGTTGTCAAATATTTTCTTATCTAAATGAGATAATGGATTTAAATGAAAATGAATAGAAACGAAGGATTAGAGTTCTAATAAGCTTCATTGGAGAAGTTACTAGCATAGAAGATCATGACACTAGGTTATTAACTTTAAGGAGCAGAGTTGAATAATTCTTGACTATAAAAGGAGTTAAAATTGAATGGAATAATAAAGAATGGGAATAAGAAATTGAATCACTTTTTGAATCCCGATATTGTAATCCTTATTATAGTAAAATTCCATATACTTAATTCTAATATACTAATTTTTTTGCTCTATTAGAAAGTCCTATGCCAATGTTTTTGAGAAGTGTATAGCATCCCTGCTTTTGTTAAGTTTATGATGCAAAATCTACAGATGATTTTAAACAATTATGTAATATCACTGACTTAAAAAATGTAAGGAGGATAAGAAAATACATTTAATCAATAATAGATAAATTAGAAGAGTTCAGAAATTTGATTATTTTAATTGATTCCAGAGATTACAATAATTCTACTGATGTAATTAATATTTTTAATCAACTATCTGGAGAACTTGATAAAATAATTAATATAGATTTATAGTTGAGTGATAAATATAGCCCTAAATAAGAAGGGAAGCTTAAATTACAAAATGATGTTGATAATTAAACTGAAAAAAATTCAATTGCTTTTATTGAAACCAAAACTTCAGCTAATACCTTTACTACTATTCATTAAGGTAGTTTAGATTGTAGAACAAAAAAGTAAAAGAAAAAATAAAAAATTTTGGAAAAATGCTAAATTCCATCTACTTTTTTAAATTACTTAGATTCAGAAACTAATCTTAGTTAAGAAAACAGTTCAAATTTTGAACCAAAATGTGATGATTTACTATTTTAATTGAATATATTTGGACTTGATCCTGATTTTCATAAATATTTAAATAATGAGTCCAAATCAATTGAAGATATTTAAAAAAAAATTGAAATTTACGAAAAATAATTATAAATTCTGGAATAAATTGGTTTTCCTTCTCCCTAAATAGATTAAGCACGATAAAAATATATTCTATAAAATTTTAGTGAATTTTATTCAAACAAAAAAACATTAATAGAATAGATTCTTTGCAGTATTTGGGAATCATTAGTGATTAAAAATAATGAAGTCGATTATGTAGATGGTGTTAGAAAATAAGCTTTATAATTATTTTCATCAATTAATTTAACCATAGATAAGGAAGAATTTGAAATTATTTTAAATAATTGCTATGAAAAATAAGCATCTATATCCTCTAACAATAATTTTGAAAGTACCCAATTTTCTCTTAATAAATTGTCCAAAATAGTAAATAGATAATTTCCAGAATCATTTACACTTAAAAACTGCTTGACAAGTAGATCAGTATTCAAAGCAAAAAGTATTTAACCTTTGTAGTAGTAGTTTAATATTTAAGAAATTAAAAATATCAGATTCATTAGGAATTATATTAAAGATTTGTTATTAAACCTTGAGAAGTTGGTGCAATTCAAAAATAAGTTAGTCAAAACAAAAAATAATAAAAACCAGGATTAATTGTTTATTAGAGAATTCAATAAACTTGAATAGATTCATCAAAAAGATGTAGTAAATAGAAAACTAAGATAATAATATTAGAAGATTGAAAAGCCAGAAACCGATGAAAAGTTTATTTTAATTGATGAAAAAGAATAATTAGATTAATTAGATTAATATTTTGATTGTAACAATAAAAAATATCAAAATGAAATTGAAATAGAAGATGATATTATTTTTATAGATGAAGATTCAGTAAAATTAGAATAAGACAACCAAAGTATAAGTGTTTAAAAACAATAGAAGAATATAGTTGAGGTAAATTTAAAATTAGAAGCTCCAACTGGAGTAGAATAGGTATAATAAAAATAATAACCAAAATAATAATAAAAATAATAGTTATTATGTGAAGATTTAATTTCTCCTGTTTAAAGAAATTATTTTCATGAATATTAATCACCTAATTTTTTTAACTCTCCATGTTTTAATTATTGTTCACCATTAGCAAATTAATAAATATTTTTTTGTCATCCTGAATTTGATTAACAAGAAATAGAATCGCCTGGTCGATAAATATAATAATTTCAATCTCATCATAACTTCAATTGATTTTAGTATTTTATATAATTAGTAATTGCTTCATATCCATTTAATAAATTGATATCAATAAATGTACACAACAATATTCATATTTTAAAAATCTGAGAAAAGTTTTTAATACTTTTTCGATAATCATTAATTTAATTACAACTAGCCATGCTAATTTAATTAGCTTAATGATAGTATTTTTCTTGGGTACTAGCAAACCAAGATTTTTTTGCTTCATGTAATAATCTTTGTTTTTCATTTTTTGACTTAATACATTAATTTTCTAATTCAATTAAAAATTCTCTATCAATCTCTGCCTCGTAATTTTTTTTAAATAAAACATCTTTCTTAAGATATTCATCTCTAGCAAAAAACTATTAACCCAAAATCTAATTAAATAACAACCTATATTTACTTCTGTTTCTAGAGTATTTCTATATGTGCTGTCTTTAATTGATTAATGATAAGGTTTTTCAGAGAAAACAAAGTTTAAGAATTAAGCAATAGAACTTCCAAAAAAGATGTAGATAAAAATCAGATAGCATGTAATTTATACCCAATTTGTTCCTCTTTAAATTTATCTTCTTTAATTCTAATACTCTTATTCATCCTAATCCTATCTTCTATGATTTTATTATTGTTGACCCCGATTTCTTCTTGGACCATTAGAATAATAAAACATTCCAGGACCAGTTTGAACAAATTAAAATCCTCCAAAACCATTTCCAAATCCTCCACCAAACTCATTACCAAATAAATCATCAAACCCTCCATTCTATTAAAAGAAAGCCCTAAATATTTATTCTGCTGGACTTTCTCCCCATTATTATCTATAATGTTAATAATGTTATTCTGGTTCTTCAGTCCCATATTAATCATAAGTTCTTCGTTTATCTTAATTTGAGAGACAATCATAAGCCTAAGTAGTATTAAGTATTTACTTGAGCAACTTTCTTAAAGGCTTCATTAGCACTAGGATTTTTATTTTTATCAGGATGATAAAGTAATGCTAATTTACGATATGCTTTTTTTAATTCCTCATCTGTGGCAGTCTTGGAAACACCCAAAATCTCATAAAAATCTTTTTTTTTAAGAAATTCTTTTATTTCTGCTTCTGTCGACATATATTAAATATATTTATAAGTATATTCAACGTTATTAAAATGGAATTTTTGATTTTTTGGCAGAATCACTCCGTTTTAATAAGAAGTATTTCTAATTTAATAAATAAAAATACATTAGATTGACGATTTAAACTAGTAACTTAAGTAGAAATCTATTAAGCAATTTATTTTGAAGATTCATCTCCAGGTAAAGTATTAATTTATGTTCTATATCTTAATTAAGCAGTTTTAGCATTATTATCATTTAGATTTTTTAGATGAGCTTAACTTGTTTTTCGTGAGTTTGACAATGATCTACTAATTGGAACAGAAGTTTTAAATTATTATGATGTTGTTAGATTCAATAATTTTGGTTCATCATAAACCTTAGTGCTAATATGATATTTTTATTTCAAAGTAGTAATAGGCGTATGTTTCTATTTTAACTTTTCTTAAGTAAGTTTAGCTTATTAAGTTAAAATTTAATTCATTAATATTTCTACTCTTTACTTGATATCCATCTATGGTTAGAGAACTTTCTATTTTTTTATAAACAACTATTATTATTATTTTGGTGAGATTTCTCCCTCTTCTTGTAGTGTTTCAAATTTTTTTTCAGTTTCCTGTTGAGAAATAGAATGTTTTTAAGGAAATAGAATTTGTTTTTTGGCTGTTAAGGATTGTTAAAGTTTTGTGATTGTAGAATTTGTTTGATTTAACTTTTTAGATAGTTCTTTAGTTTGTTTATTTATAAATATTGGAACTTTGATAATAATGACAACTTTATTAGAGAGTGTAGCTTTATTATTAAAAGCATGAGGCTTAAGCAATTTAGTGTGATATTCAACCTCTTCATCTTCAGGCTAAATAAATCAATTAAAATAAATACTATAGACTGTTTATCTACTCCATACAATTTTTTATAAACTTAATAGATTTAAGAAAATATTTAACTTGTATGAGGAACAAATGTATAAAACATTTCCAAAGCTTTTCCTAACCAGATTTCAATATTCATTTTATTTTCTTAATTATTCAGAAATCTTAATTCAGTTGATATACTATAAAAACTTAAACCAGTCAACATAATCTAAAATGTATTCTTGAATCAAGTACCAACTCTAATATTACTTCTTCTGCTATAACCATTTCAGAACTATTGATTGGAAATAATTCTTCTAAGTCAACATATGTTAATTGCATTAATCCCAAAATTTACATTTACAACATTGGATGATTATCTTCAATTCTTGTAAAGAGTTTATTTTATTAATTATTAGTTTGAGTCTAAAAGATCTACTCAGTTGTAAATAAAGATTAACTTCTATTTTAATGATTGCGTGCTAACAGATTATTTTAACTACCACTATCATTTGATTTCTCTTCATTCGGCATAACACTTCTTATTGTATTTAATATTTCCTTAAATACTATTTCTACAATCTATGGATAGTTCAATGATTAAGGCTACTATTATGGTTAGCATGGTTAGCAAACTGACTGAGATTGTGAATTCTTATGAATTGGAGAATTGATTTCTGAATTTGCTCTTTGTTTTTTATTAATATTGTTTAATAGAGTTATTTGCTAACATAACTTAATAGTATATTAGATAATGCTCCTTAGAACTTTTACAGCATCTTTAGCAATATCCAAGGCTTACTTATTTCTTTTCTAAAAATTGTATTTTATACCTTTTAGTTTCAGAAAATAACAAAGTGATTTAAAACATTATTCTCAATCTAAGTAATTTGTTTTAAATCATCCTAGCTAATTGCAAAGAATCAAAAGTTCCTTTTTTGAAGGTTTTACCTTTAATTTTGAGGATTTGTTCACAATCTAAAAGTAAACTTAAAGATTCATCAGAAAATGAATATCTTCTCAGATAAATAGCATAATTAATTTTAGAGAATAAAACAGTTGTATACTAAACTTGTATTCTAAGTAATGATAATTAATTACTAATTTAAAGTATAAAATTCTAATAATTTAGCAGCTCTGTTATGGAATAATAAAGCTTAAAAATCTGAGATATCATCTTGAATTGCAATTTTAGTAAAATCATTCATAATGAAGTCTGGATAATCAGGTTTTATTATGATGATTTCTTCTGAATCTTCAGTCTGTTTGATTAAATAGTTTAATATACTTGGATTTAGAAATTAGAATCATTATTAATCTATTCTCTCCTGAAAGTAATTTTCTTTTACCTGGCCAAATCTATAGGAGATTTATCTTAAATGAAAACAGGTTGAGAAACATTTTTGTTATGAAATGTATGTGCTTCTAATTTGATCATTTTATTATATTATATATAAATATTGAGTTATCTGAAAGATTTTCAAAATGTTCTCTTAACCATAATATTATAAAAGTCTTCTCTGGTAATTTCTCTTCCATTAGAAGCTGCACGTTCCAACATTTCTGCCAATTCTTCAGCAGTCATTGTTTCACCTAATTCTTTTGCTACCTAATTAATTAATATTAAATATTACTCTTTTTAAATTATTTAAGTTTATGCTATTGCTACCATCATCATCAAATAAATCAAATATTTTATTGATCCCATCTTTACTCTCTCTATTACCTAATTTTTATGTAATTGCATCTAAAAATTAATCAAAGTCAATATCAGTTCTATTTTTTACATTATATTAATACCCTTCATTTTCCAATTCTGCAATCATATTGAAGATTGTAGGATTTTTTTAATCAAATCCTAAACTCTACATTGCTGCCTTTAATTCTCTTGGATCAACTCTACCAGTTCCTTCTGTATCAAAAAGATTGAATGCTTCTCTAATTTCATCAATCTCATCATCTGTCAATCCTGGTCTTATTTCACTAAATTATTATTATACCTCTCTAAAGGTTTACGTACATTACCCTACTTTTAAGGTTATTACTTTTAAGTTACTTAAGCTTAGGGTTTGCCTCTCATATCTTTTAATTTAAATATATATATATAAATAGTATATAAAGCAAAAAATAACATTCATTACATTATTCTCATATTTTCTAATGAATGTTTTTCTTCCTCTTCAAAAGAGTGACTGTTATCTTAAAATTAATCATAAACTATCTAATCTAAATATATATTATATTTAAAATACCATCTGATGGTTTCTCAAAATTATAATTTCTTTGATCTTCATCAAGATTAGAAGAACTACTAAATCTTTAATATTGTCTTTCCTCTCCCAAATTCCTATTTGCATATGTTGAAGCTTTCTTTGTTTTTCTTGTATCAACTTCAATACTCTCCTCATCTTCATCACCCTATCCTTCCCAAATTGTTTCAGGAATTAAACTTTATATTGATTTAGCTTTTGAATATTATTATTGTGGTGCTATTTTCTTTGGTTTTTATGATTCAGATTTTGGCAAAGGTATTTTTGCTTTGTACTATAAGCTTTACCCATTTGCATTCAAAAAATCTTTAAGCAATTCATTATCTCCTAATATAGTTGATAATGTTTTCAAAAAGTTATCTAATTGTTATCTTCGATTTTCAATATCTTATGGTGTTAAATATTTTGTCAATTGAGGAAAAGATGGTAAGATAATTTATGGATATATTGTAGTAAAATCTCTGTGAAATGTTAAAAAATCACTGAAAGATCTAAATACTATTTTATGTCTTCCAGAAAATTAGTATGTAATTTCATAAATTATATATTTTCGTTGAGTATCTTTGTCTTTGTTGTCTTAATATGATTTTACTTCAATATTTGTAATCTATTATTACTATTAGTTCTCTGGCTAACAAAATGTAAAGTTTGATTCATTTGTCAATAATTATTATCTTATTAATGTCTCATCATCATTACCAAGCAATGATAATTTGTATTTGTACTCTTATACAACAGTTTAAAGCAGTTTCTTATCTTAGGGTATAAAAAACACTAATATAGAAAATAGTAAAAGCACTACTCCTCTAAGGATGAACATTAACCAACAACTTATGTCTTCATGTCTTATCACATATTCTTTGTTATTCATCTGCCAAGTAAATAAGATTACTGCAAATCCACAAAAACAAAGAAATTGTAACTATATAGATATTCCATATAATACTATGAAATTGCATTGAGTTACAAATGTTGTTTATCCATATTTATCTGCATCTTCAAATACTTGTAATCCTGCTAACAAATAATTTATTATCTAACAAAATTCTATAATTGTAATCAAAACGTAACTAAACTAAAAGCATAATATACTCTGAATGAAATTAAGTGTCAATGATTATTTGCAATATTGATAAAAATGTAAACATACACAATATTGCTATTTTTGTATAAATTGAACATAAATTAAGAATGAAAATTTTTTTTTTTTCTTTAAACTATAATCTCATAGCTTTATAATCTATGGATAGTTTAGAATGTTTTACTTTAATTCTACTTTTTCCATGCTAACCCTACTAAATTCTAAATCAAAGGTAAAATTCCCAAAAAGATTACAAGTAGATTTTCCCAAAGATTATCAAAAAATTTAGCCATTATAAATAATTAAATCAAATAATATAAAATATATCGTTAAATTAGGAGATCTTGCTAAAATATTCTAAACAATTTATGAAAATGGCTGATTAACATTTCTCTTAAACCATAAATTAATTCATTCAAACTATTTTTGCCATAAATTTTAAAATATACTATAATTCTAAACATTAAATAAATATTTCAAATTCAAAATATAAAATGTAACATCTCAGCTACCCTCCTGATAAAAAAATTTAGAATTACTAGTTTAGTTTTCGAGCCAAATTAGGCAAGGGTGCTTATGGTACAGTTTATGCTGGCAGAAACACCTTGGATAGTATATAAGCATTTCTAATTTTTAGATAAAATTGTTGCACTTAAAGTAATTGATAAAAAATTGCTTCTTACAGATTATGCAAATCAATTAATAGCATCAGAAATCGAAATAATGAAAAAGATTAATGATTCTCATGTTGTTAAATTTTTGGATGTTTTACAAAGTGCTAATAATACATACATAATAACTGAGTTTTGTAATGGAGGAGACTTAAGGGAATTCATTAAGAATAGAAAGTACTATATTCATATATTTAGAGTTATTCCAGAAGATGAAGCTCTCAAGATAATGAATGATTTATTGCTAGGAATTAAAGCTTTACTTAAAATTGGAATCATTCATAGAGACATTAAACCAGCCAATATTTTAATTCATGATAATCAGTTCAAAATCACTGATTTTGGTTTTGCAAAACAAATTGATGCAAATCTAGACACTATTATGAATTCATTAGTTGGTACTCCATTATACATGAGTCCTTAAATTTTAAAAAGAACAAAATATTCATCAAAATGTGATGTTTGGTCATTAGGTTTAATTTTATACGAGATGCTTTACGGAATGACACCTTGGCATTCTTAAAATCTAGTTGAATTAATGAATAAATTGGATTCTAAAGTAAAAATTTTATTTTAATAAAATAGCCTTTGTCTTTTCCAGTACATCCTTAAGTCTCAGAAAATACAAAGAAACTAATCAGAGGTTGTCTATAAATTAATGAAGAAAAAAGATGGAGTTGGGAAGATCTATTCAATTCTGTTAATATTAATCTTAATACAATTGAAAATAAATAAGAATCACCAACTTCAACAGTTAAAGAAGATACTTAAATAGCAACTCAGAGAGAAAACTAAAATTATAGTCAATCAAAATACTCAATATAAATGTTAAGAATAAAATAACGAACTGAATCCTTATGTCAATAAATCAATAAACATAATAGGAGTTTTAGTAATACAGCTTTTCTTACAAATGATATTGCCAAAAGATATGAAAATAAAACTCCAATCAATGATAAATAAAAATAAGCTACTAGTTATTTAGATCTGAAAGAAAAATAAAACCCTTTTAAAGTAGAGAGGGAAAGAAGTAGCTCTTAAAACTCAAAGTTTCACACTTAAAGATCTGAATTAAACAGTTATTTAGAAAAGATCCATAATGTTCAATAAAAGCTAAATAGTAATAACGATTCATGCCGAACACCAAGTGCGTTATAATCACATTCAACAAATACTTCTAATAAATAAAACTATGATTTAGATTTAGTAAAAGTCTCTGAATTTTAATTTGAAGACAACAAAGGAGCTGATTGTTTTACTTTATTTAGAAATCCAAAGACAGAAAGAGTAAAAAGAACTAATAGTTTAAGTGGGAATTTCGGTTATTAATAGCATTCTCCATTTTAAGGAAAATCTTCAATACAATAACTCATTAAATCTTTAAGTAATTAATTGGAGCTTATCCCCAATCATATTAATTGTAAAGTTGAGATAAATACAATGATTATTTTGCATAAGGATTAAATCAATCGCGCACAAAATAAACAAATTTATACAAATTAAGATTTGAGAGATCTCAAATTAATGATAAATAATCTGATTTCCTATTTAAATTCTAATTCAGGAGAACACTCCAGCAAATAATCCCAAGTTTTGCTTTTATTATTATTAACTTATCATAAAGTGCTAATTTTCAATATCAAAAATAATTCTTTAAACATTGATGTATGTTTGGTAGAATCTATAAAAAAGAATATAAAAATTTAGTAGAATTAGATGAATATCGAGTCAAAATTAATTAGAGAATAAATACATTAATTAATGTGATTTCATAAATATTTATTTTATTTTTTATTTATATCAAATGATGTCACATAATTTCTCTATTTAACAAAATAGTGTTTCTAATAATTATTAATATATTAAAAAATGAAAGCATCTTGCTTAGTTTTATTAGTGATTTTGGCTTCAATATCTACAACCTTGGCTACTAAAGGTATAGATTTGAGTGCTTCATTCAATAACTTTTCTTGTGTGAAGAATGCAGGCTATTCATTTGCCATCGTCAGAGGATATAAGAGCTTTGGTGAAGTCGACACAGTTGGACATTAAAATCTTAAGAATGCCAAAGCTGCAGGTTTGATTGGTGATGCCTACTTTTTCCCATGTAAAGGAAGTAAGAATTTTAATTTATCATTCATAGAAAAGACTGCTTCTGCTTAAGTAACTGAATTTGACAATGTATTTGGTTCAGAGTACGGAACTGTATGGATTGATGTTGAATCCAACCCAAGTTCAGGATGTGGATGGAGCAGTTCAGATCATGCAGGAAATTGTCAATTTTTATAAGATCTTGTTAATGCATTGACTGCCAAAAAGAGACTTGTTGGAATTTATGCTTCCTAATATTAATGGTCTACAATTATGGGATCAGCTTCAGCTTGTGCCAAATTTACTTCTCATCCTCTTTGGTATGCACATTATGACAACAATCCTTCCTTCAGTGATTATTCCAAATACGCTTTAGGTGGATGGACCACACCATCAATCAAATAATATGTTGGTGACACAACCTTATGTTCTGTTGGAGTTGATTTGAATTTCTATTGAAAAAACATATTTTATAACATTTATCTTAATTTCATATTATTTTATTAATCCTACTTTTAGATACTTCCTAATTCTTTTTTTATTATCTTTTATGATTGAACAATTTTAATAAATCTTTTTGGAAATTTGAAAGAATTTTAAAAACAATAATCAAAGACCTATGTTTCCATCGATTTAGAAATAATTCTGAAAATTTTAAGTATATTATAATATTTATATAAAATAATATTTTTCATAATTGTGATTCTAAATTAGTCTACGCTAAGTATTTTAAAGATAAATTGAATGAACATGAAGCCAAGATAAAATTGATGGGTAAATAAATTATTGTACAGTAATAAGAAATATAATTAAGTATTGAACTTCCAAATATTTATTAAGCAATCATCAGTTCTCTTGTCCACCAATCTTACTAATTATATTATCATCTATTTTACATAATTTATGACCAACCATATAGAATCAAAGATGCATTATATTATAATTATCAAAGATATTTATGCTAAAATTTTTGTTGTTTTAATGAAATTATCTCTATATGCCCAAACTAACATTCCTATTGACATAGTTGTTGTTGTTTATTAAAAACAAGGTCTAGCTACACTGACAAAAATTAAAGAAAATAGAGATGTAATAGCACTTAAAATGATCACTACTCTTTACCATTCCTCTATGGTATCTTAATGTTCGCCTTTATTTATAACATATAAATATAATACTTTTAAATAATTTTGCTAATGTGTACATACTGTCTTAATAGTCTATAGTCCAGTGATTTACTTCACTCAACTAAATCAGTACTTATTATTATTGCTATTAAACATTTATTATTTAAGGTTATCTCTATATTCTAGATCTATTAAAAGTAAATGTTAAAGCCTCTATAAGATAATTAGCCTTATCAACAATCACTTATTATTCCTCGATTTCTTTTCTAAAATGATTCACATTTGATAAGTGATCTTCCAATAATGCTACTTTACTGTGAACCCACCAAATAGTTAAATTTAATTTTAGTTTAGAATTAATTAACACTCCATATTCATTCTCTAAAATATAATCTTGTGTATAGTGTTGTTAATCTTTGTACTAGTATAGAGGAAGCTATAACTAACCAATTAAATGCTAATCTTAATTAAACAATCCTATGAAAATTTAACCATGGGGCGATTAAACATGACTATTCTACTTAATTTTATATATTTACATTTAAAACTCTTCTTTCCAAATTGGTTGGATTGTCATGTCTGATAATTTAGTTTACTGCTAATTATTAAATAGTGTTAACAAAACATAATATTTAGATAACTTCAAACATTCGCCATGAGAAATTGTAATAAATAGAGTACTATCGTTATCTATTTCATATTCATTTTGTTTTTCTTCTTTCCTTGCTTGTTATAATTCATCTTATAATTTTTTGTATTCACTCCTATAAAGAAGTATTTAATTATTAGCATCCTGTCTAATTTAATTTTAATTCTAATATTCTTTAAAGGTCATCTCAACAAGATCATTAATTGTAAAATAATATCCTTAAGAATGAGTTGGGTGATTTAATCTAATTTTTTCTATTAATTCATTTGGAAACTCTCTTCTAATCTTAATAACTAATTTCAATTAATACCAGTTAGTTAATATATTGAAAGACATCAGGAAGTGAATATTCTTAATTGTCTTCAAATTTTCCTTATTTGAAAATTTGATAAATAACATCTGTTTATAATTAATTCATTAAATATATATTAGAATTATCAATTATTGTATTTAAAAAAAGCTTTGAACAAAATAAATGAATTAATTCAAAAGTATCTCTTATGTTTACCTTTGCCAAAAATTCTTTACTCAAATTTTAAATAATTAAATTTTTCTTGTCTATCTAATTTACTAAAGATATCTAATTTATCAAAATGTTTCTATACTTTTGCTATTGAAGTTTTGATATCTTTCTTTTATTCAATTATTGCTGTTTTCTCTTCATTTATTCTATCAATTAACAAACCTATAGTTTTTTTGGAATGGCCTTACCTCACTATAGGAATTTTTGTATCCGATATTAGAGTTAATGAAGTTTACCTCTATACTAAAGGCGAACCATCAACTTCAGAGGAATTTTATTTAAACTCTCTGAAAGTTGTAATTGTTGCTCTTTAAAATCTTCGAGAAGATGCTTCAGGGATATTAGGAAGTTTAAGTTTATGTAATTTAGTTTTTTTCTCTGTTTTTATTTAATCCTTGTGTATGGACATGAACTCTTCCAATTTTTCTTTATCAATTTACTGGATTGACTTCTTATCTATACCTTTAGCTCTAACTAGTTTAGTAACCAATATAGTTGATTATAGTTTCTTTAATTTGCGTTATTTGGGCATCAATGTTTATGCAAACTCCAATTCTTCATCAGATTTACGTACATCATGCATGTTGTTATATGCTAACATTTCTTTTAAACATGTTCCATTTAAAATCTTAAACTCTTAATCTGCATTTTATTCTACATAGTCATCCTTAACTTCATCTCTCAATTGATTATCCAAATACTTAACATCAACTGGTGATCTTCTCTCACTTCGATATCTGGTTGAGTCACATTTTTGAAGATGTCTTTTAACCTTATTCAAAAGCTACATAGTCTACTATTTATGATAATCATATCTATAAGAGTCTCCTCTAGGAGTATAATAAGGTTAGATGAATGTTTAATCTTGAAAATGTAAAGTTTTCATTAATTAATTATCTGTTATAATATCATTATGATTATACACTTCCATAAATGTGGCCAAGATTAATTAATAATTCATGATTTGATAATAACATTTGTTTCTTTAACACTATTGGATATTTCAGAATGAATAATTTAAATTAATTATTATTTCTCATAATATTAATGTAAAAGATAACTCAAACTCAAATAATAGAATGGGTGAAAGACGGAAATGCATAGACTTTAGCTAATTACTTCAGTGAAAAGCTGGCTGGAAATTTATAAGGTCTTAAACATTTTTTTGTAATGAACGATAATTAAAAACGTAATGTAATACATTGGGCTGCCTATTTTGGATAATTAGAATTATTGGAAAATTGGTTAAAGTCCTACTCTTAATATATTGATCTTAATAAAACGGATATTCATCATTACACTCCTTTAGAATTAGCTAGTATCAAAGGGTATTTTCGATTTTATTACTTTAAGCTTTATGAAAGAGCAAGACTCCTTGATATAATTTAGTCTCATTAAATTACTAATTGAATATAATGCTGTAGTTCCGATCGATAATGCTCATAAAAGAGCTACTCCACTTCATTGGGCTTATTATTATGGAAATGCAGAATTAATCAAATTCCTATTGTCAAATTATCCTGATCTTCAATATCAGCTTGATTAATTTGGAATGTATCCAGTTGATTATTTATTTTTAGAAAATAGGCCATAGCAATATTAGTATTATTTATTAACAAAATTTTTTTAGGAAAAACTACAAAAGTATTTTCATATTAACAGTTGTGGAATATGCATAAACCATTTATAATCACAAATTTAAAAATATTCGAAATCTCAATACTTAAATGACTATGACTCTTCGATCTTAATCTTTAAAATCATAAAGTAATGAAAGTAAAGATAGATTGCATTTGAAAGAGCCTGCAAATGAAATTGATAATGAATCTGAAGATAGAACACAAAATTATTTGTATGCAGGTTTGACTACAATGACTTTAATGTCGAGGATTCGATTGACATGTAACAATTCTCAAAAAAGAGATTCTCTCACTTCAAAATTAAGTTAATAATTTAAATCAATCAAAGAGAAAATGAAAAAATTACCTAATAAAAATATTACAAATGAAATTCCTTTTGATGATTCACAATAAGAGCTTAATGAGCCAGAAGCTGAAAAAATTCCTACTGTAAGAATCATGTAACCTACTAACACAATATTTATTGATCCTAATAAAAATTATTTTGATTAATCAAATAAAATACTTAATTCTAAAAGCGATTTAGAAAGTGAAAGAAATCCTCAAAAAAATTTACTTTAATCAGATGATGATATTAATCGCATGTTTAAATCAAACAACTTGAATTCTCGTTCTGATTTATCTCGATATTAACCATCGCAATGTTAATAGTCATGTAACCCTTCTCAATTTGGAAGGTAATTGTCTTAAGAAATTCATTTGCCTTATGAAGATTCTAGATTTTCTATGAAAGATGTTTAATAAATTAAATCTATGAAACCATCATTAAAGAAACCAGGATAAAAATTATTCAAAAGAAAAAGCACAACTTTTAATAATGAACCTTACTTTATCTTCCACTATACAAAGAATTAAAACAAAAGATAATTGTTTGAGTGTAGATTATAATTTTGGTCAGCCAGAATAGATTCAAAAGAATTCTTTACTTACTTTTTGAATAAAGGATGCAATCCATTTCTAATTTAATATTAAGGTTTCAATTGTCTACATATTGCAGCTAATAAAGGAAAATCCGAAATTCTAAAATTTATTTTAGAAAATAATTACTAATATAAAGAATTAAAAGAGTTAAAAGAGAAAAATCCTTATCTTTCGGAAGAGGAACTCAGTAAGACTCAGAAAAATAAAGTTATTTTTGATAAAGTATAAATTATATTTAATTTTTAGAATAATGCTTTGAATATGATGACAGATTTGAATCCTTCTAATGCTTTACATTTAGCTATTGAAATCAATAATTATGAATGTATGAAAATTTTAGTTGAGAATGGAGTTTCAGCTGATATGTTAAATCATAGATGTTTAAAGCCGTTTGAACTCACATTTGATGCAAAAATGGTAGAATTTTATGAAGAGAAATACTTCAATAAAAATGATCTAAGTTTTCATTCAATGGGATATATGTATGTGCTTTAGACTAGAGGATAATTGGAGATTAATTAAGATATTGTTCTGCTATAATTACAAAATATTAGATAATCTTTGGAATAAAATGATATGGACTTTGAATTTTTAATAATTAATACTCCAAATTATAATTATTTAAGAAATAAAAAAGAAAACTAGATCAAGCATCACTATTACGTATTAAAATTATCTGCATAAACTATTTATAAATTAGCAGATAAGTATGAAATTGAATGTTATCATTTTACAAAAAAAGTAAGATTTTTATTAGATTTTAGCATCTAACAAAATTTAAATATAGAGATTATACTCATTATGAATTTCCTAAGCCATTACAGATATAATCTCTTATTATTAACACTTTGAATGAAGAATTTGATTTGGATAAGTTTATTTTAGAAGGTTTGGTAATTTCTCATTTTCCTCTTGAAGACAATTAGAAATTATAAAAAGTTGATTAATTATGGAAAAAATACTAAAACAACTGTATTAGAGATACAATTAGATTTGCAACTCATTAATTTTCTTTAAGGCCTTTAAATTCAATTTCAGCTTATTATGGTCCTGTCATTGCTTGGTATATATCCTTTAATGTCTAAATAGTAGGCTGGCTCATTATTCCAGCTCTTATAGGATCAGCTATTCAATTATACTAGCTGTTAGCTGAGAAAGTTCAGTATAAATATAATGAATATTTTTAGCGCCTCTATTTTACCAGCATATGCTTTTTTTATGTCTCTTTGGGCTACATTATTTATGGAAAAATGGAAAAATAGGGAATCAGAATTTAAATATATATGGGATATGCACAAATTTAAATAACAAGAACCTGAGAGAGTGATGTATACAGGTGAATACGTTATTAATTCATGTACAAATAAAATAGGAATATATGACTCTTTTACAACATTTAAAAGAAGATTGATTGCTGAATTTCCAATAATCTTGTTAGGAATATCGATTATAGTTGTCAGCTTTTTTGCATTTAATATTTGGTAACAAAGTCAAGATATCAATAATATCTATATGCCAATAATAATTAACTCTTTAAATGGAGTTAGCATGACTATATTTTGTGATCTATACAAACGTTTATGCAAATCGGTTGTAAATTGGGAAAATCATAAATTTGACTTGGCAATGTAATACTCATATGTTTTAAAAGTTTTTTTGTTTGAATTCTTAATCTCTTATATTTCTGTTGTATATGCTGTATTATTTAAATCGAATCAAACTTAATTAACTTTATCAGTAGCTTCCATAATCATTACAAGAGGACTTATTTCTAACCTAAAAAGTAATTGTATGCCTTATGGACTCTACAAATATCTTTAATGGAGCCAGATTGGAAAGCTTGAAATATTTTAGCAAATATGTAAAAATTTTAAGTTTTGTGAGATGTAATATATAAGTGAAAAGCTGAACGCTAAGACTCAAATTAAATTTATGTAATTAATGGAAGATTGCAATAATAAATTACCATAAAAGGAACTTTATGAAGAATATACAAGTATTGCTATACAATTTGGATATACAACTATGTTTTCCCCTGCTTTTGCTGCTGCACCACTGTTTTTTCTGTTGAATCAATATATCAATTTATAATTTTCAATTTACAATTACTAAAAAGTGTTAAAACGAGAGGTAAGATTTTGCATTACTATAGAGAGCTTAAGCTTCTGATTCAATTGGAATTTGGCTCTCCATTTTTGAGATTATGAATTATTGTTCGACATTCATGAATTGCATAGTGATTGGAATTGTTAACAAGTCTGAATTTGAAAAATTGATAGGGGATACTGATCCTCTATTTCAAGCTCTAGTCTTAGCAGCTATAGAACATATTTTATTACTTATTAAATATATTCTTGGAGTTGCAATTCCTGATTGCCCTTATTGGGTATCTAAAGAATTAAGAAAATATGCATTTTTAGAAGAGAAAAGTGCGAAGCTACATGATGATAGTGAGATTAATCTTTAATTTTGATTCTTTTATAATTATTGTTTCTATTATGTAATGTCATAAAGAGTTCTTTTGGTAGTTTTTTTTGTTAATATTTCGTTCTCTTGAATATTTCAAAATAGATGCTTTCAAAATGATATAGAAAAAAGAAACTTTGAATATGCAAATCTGTTAAAAATTTTCTTTTATAAATTGAACAATTCTTTCAATAAATTTGGCTCATTTCTTTATTTTTCACTTTCAAGAAGTTGAAATTTTGCAAGCACTAAATAAATTCTATTATTATCTTTTATGAAAAGTAAGTAGAATATTTTTATAAGAAGTGTCTGCCAAAAATTTTTAAAAAATTACAAATAAAAATTTCTTATGAAACCTCTTATATTGTTATTCATTGCTTATGAAATTTCTGCATAAATCACTCTTGATGTAAGATAAAAATGTGATTGTGAATTATTCAAAAATAAGAATGACTGTCTTTATAATAATGCATGTTAATGGAGCAACTAAAAATGTTTAAAAGATGATTAGAAAAAATGCACTAAATACAAGAATATGGATTCTTGTTATGTAAATTTGTTTAATATAAATATAATTAATATTAATTAAATATATATATAATGATTGTAATGTAATTCAAAAATACTAAGTCAATAAAATACAACTATTTTATGGATTGAATATAGAATATATATT